TCGGACCGTTAAACTAAATCTCGCAAATTTTAGGTACATCAGACAGAGTTTGAATACAGATGCTGCAAAATTATTTTTTTATACTATGATAATGCCACATCTGTCCTACTGTGTCACCAGCTGGTCTCAGGGCTGTAAGACGACGCTGAAACCAATCGATTCTGTCTATAAGCAGGCTCTGAAAGTTTTGGACAAGAAACCTTTTCGTCACCACCACTGCAGTATATTGGACAAATATAACCTGCTGAATTGGGAAAACTTTGTAAAATTTCATGATGCTAATATGGTTTTTAAAATTTTACGTGGTTTGGCTCCTCCACCACTTTTTAATTTTATAAATCTGAGCAGGCGACAAACTAGATCTGCAACCTCAAATAACCTGTTAGTCCCCCTTAGGAAAAGTGCCTTCAGTCAGTCGGCCTTTTCAGTGAGAGCAGTCCAGTTCTGGAACACTGTCCCCTCTCACATACGCAATGTCGATACATTAAGGTCCTTTAAAAATAAGTTAAAATCTTGGTTACTTGAGAATCAAACTTGTGCACATCAATGTTGATGTATTTTATTTTTTCTGCTTTTGTGCTAATGCCTGCTGCCGTTGTAATTCTGTTGTGTGTAATTGTCTATGGTGTAGTGTTTGTGCCGAATTTTAACAGGTTGTGTGGGAGCTCATACTAATGAATTGTTTTATCATTTTTAGGTTAGTAATGATTGTTGTTGTTATTGTTATATATTGTTGGCAATCTACATCTTGCCCAGGGACTACAGTTGAAAATTAGCTTTGGAGCTAAAACTGGCACATTTACAGTGATGTTAATTAATGTGCATTGTCCCTGTTTAAATAAACTAATAATAAAAAAAAAAAAAAAAAAAAAAAAGTAGCAGTAATGTATTACTTTAAATAACCTTCATGTAAAGCTTTGTTGTTGTAATGTATATGCATTACATTCATCTAATACATGCACTGTAACAGATGTTTTGGACTTATAACTAATCTTAATGTTAAGACACGTCACACTGCAATCTGCAACATTATGTTTATCACAACAGTTATCAGTGTACCAACTAGAGAAGCAGTATTATTCTATAAAAGACTGGATTGTTTTTATCTCTTTCTTAGTGATGCTATCTTAGCTAACACCAAGCTGCTTTCAGTTTTATAGCTAGGTTACAACTGAGCTATTCTATGCTAATATTTCACTCCCAGAGTTTGTTGTTAATATACTTAAGGGTAGACCTGACGGAGATGAACCTGCTGCTGCCATCACCAACACGATGCGCGTTCATGTGGTGTGACGAGGGGACGGGGGCGGGGCTACTAACTCGCTCAGGCAGAAGAAACTGCCGGAAACGACCAAATCGCTTACTGCTGCTTTAAGTGCAGAGAAAGATGCCATATAAATGATGAATAAATTTTTTATTTTTATTATTATCATTATTATTAAATCAAAGTGAATATGAGCCAAAGCGAGGAATAGCAAGACAAGAATTTGAATATTTGGTTTTATCTAACATAGTTCCCACAGACCAATGAATGTCACATGACCTCCTCGGAGACGCCATCTTTGATGGCACGCTGCTGTGTTTAAAAAGTTTAATGAGTTTCACTCGCAAATTTCGAATGTTTAATCCTGTTTTTAAAATGTTACGAAAATCATGAAGAGACAAAGTGACAGAGATTATAAAGAGACTCTATTAACACAAGATAGAGAGGTACGATGCGAAAATTTCAGTCATTAATTGTGTGGATCCGTATACGCTAACGAAGGAAGCACTGAACGCTGATTATGCAGCTTTGCCTCAGATACAGTATTATCATGTGTACCATTATCTGGTATTGGCTAGGAGCTTTTACACATGTGAGCAATTCCGAGCATGGAAATCGCTGGAGGCGTACAATCAATTTGCCGAGGGTTGGGTTGGTGACGTTTGCTCAAGTGCAATCAATGGAAAAGTAGTCATCATAGCGAAGGTATGTAGCATGAACTTTAGATTGAATACCAGTTGGAGCTCCATTTAATTATTTTAATTATATTAACAATTAATTTAATTAATGCTAATGCCACACAGACACTCTGGATTGCTGTTGTTTATTTCCGCGTTTTTGACCGTATGTTTTGGTGAATGGTGGGCAGCTGATTTTTCCAGGCGTAAAGAGCAGTTTATTTTATGACACAGATCTTTTTACAGAAGCAATGCTGTTTGTGAACATTGTTTTAGCCCACCATAGAACTATTATTATCTATTTAATACATTTACGTTGCCCTCGAGAGCCTCGGACGCGACACCGATCCTCCTCATAATAAAGTCATCTAAATAATGAAACTCAAGTTACCAGCTATCAGCATACACAAGTAAGTACTGAGTAAATTACGTCTGTCAACACATTATAAGATACGATCCGCACCTGACACAAAGTGCTCCGAGCATATTCTTGCGTGTTTTGAGGGAGTTTCTTGCCTGTTTATCTTCGCAAGCCATAACCTCCGTCGTTGTTCTGACAAAAACTTAGTCTTCTCACATTCATGAAGTCTAATGATGGGTATACTGTAAAATCCAAGTTTAACAGAACCTCCGGCACGATTTGAACATCCATTGACCCAGCAGGAGATGAACATTTTCAACTTTATCACGACATTAACACGTTTCAGCTTCTTCTTCTATTGTTTTGCCCACAGCATGCCAACACAAATGGCGCCGGGTCGGCAAATCCCCGTATGTAGTGACGTCATGTAGGAACTATGAATAGAGGGATCCTACGGTCACGTGACTAGCAGCCACGGCAGCCATACTGGAGGACAACCTCGGCGAGTAACAGCCATGGATGTATTGGTAACAGCCCTGCTAGCTAACTGGACGTTCAAAACTAGAACTCTCTCGAACTACATGAAAACTGAACAGAGAATTTGAAACTTCAGCAGTTAGTGACCCAAATATATACTCAACCTAAATTCATGAATCAGATCCTCTGAAAATGTATTATTAATGTTTATCGTTACATCCAGGTTTACCGCGGTCGCATATTGTCGCATTAAAACAGTTTTTTTTCATGAAAACGTGAACGGAAAATTCTGAAAACCTCTGTGCACGTGTATTAAGAATGTATATGTATAATGTATTCTTCGATTAACATTTAATGTGTTTATTGTTACACCATGGATCTATGTGTGGCTACACTGCAGTGGAAATAGTGAGATTACGTTCAAATCAATGGAGCTTTCTGCGTCTACTGTGAGGAGCCGTATATTTTATTAATAAATACTAGTACGGGGCACCCTCGAGCACGGCTCAGTCGTTCACATGTCTGCTGGCCTTTGGTAAGTCAGATACCCTGTGAACCGGGTGAGGTCCTGTGTGAGACCAAATATATAACAGCTATGCTACAAGCTAAGCTACAGTCTATGGAGCAACCCCACGTTGCAGTCAGACAGATATGTTTTATCCTTAAACTTCTGTTTGTTTCGATATAACACTAAATCCGCCATCAAATTGATTTCACTTAGCAGAAATGAAATGATCCGAGCATATTCGGGCGCTCTGGTGGCTATTAGTTTTTTGTTGTTGCGTATGGTATGCCATTTCTCTCTCGTTTCTTTGAGATATCTTCTGTTTTGGAGCCGTGTGAAGTAAGGACGGCTGGCAGTCGGTAACACAACTTATTTTCCCTGTCTCTCCTTTTGCTGCAGCCAATAACGGCAAATATTTTGAACATGTTTATGCGGTCCCGGGTGCACGCCACTATCATACAGCGTTTTCTTGTCCTCCAGTATGGCGGATGCCCCGCGAGTTCGAGGCATCGTGACGTCACGTGAGATATCTCTATACATAGTTCCCACATGACGTCACTACATACGGGGATTTGCCGACCCGGCGCCATTTGTATTGGCATGCTGTGGGCAAAACAATAGAAAAAGAAGCTGAAACGTGTTAATGTCGTGATAAAGTTGAAAATGGTCATCTCCTGCTGGGTCAATGGATGTTCAAATCGTGCCGGAGGTTCTGTTAAACTTGGATTTTACAGTATACCCATCATTAGACTTCATGAATGTGAGAAGACTAAGCTTTTGTCAGAACAACGACGGAGGTTATGGCTTGCGAAGATAAACAGGCAAGAAACTCCCTCAAAACACGCAAGAATATGCTCGGAGCACTTTGTGTCAGGTGCGTATCGTATCTTATAATGTGTTGACAAACGTAATTTACTCAGTACTAACTTGTGTATGCTGATAGCTGGTAACTTGAGAGTTTCATTATTTAGCGTTAGATTACTTTATTATGAGGAGGATCGGTGTTGCGTCCGAGGCTCTCGAGGGCAACGTAAATGTATTAAATAGATAATAATAGTTCTATGGTGGGCTAAAACAATGTTCACAAACAGCATTGCTTCTGTAAAAAGATCTGTGTCATAAAATAAACTGCTCTTTAAGCCTGGAAAAATCAGTTGCCCACCATTCACCAAAACATACGGTCAAAAACGCGGAAATAAACAATAACAGCAATCCAGAGTGTTCGTGTGGCATTAGCATTAATTAAATTAATTGTTAATATAATTAAAATAATTAAATGGAGCTCCAATTGGTATTAAATCTAAAGTTTTTGAGAAATGTTTGCATTGCTTGTTAATTTTTGCTGCATAATTTGATCAAATATGTAAAACATGTCCGTAGCACGTTAAACTGTGGTGCCATTGTATTAATATACAATTATTTGCTCAAAAGTTGCCCTTTTTTTCCAATTTGCGTTTGAATATCTACATTTATTCTCATTCTTCTGTTTAATGGAATGCACAAACACAGCAGCGTGCCATCAAAGATGGCGTCTCCGAGGAGGTCATGTGACATTCATTGGTCTGTGGGAACTATGTATAAACATGAGGTCCGACTCCGGTGTGTGATGTCAAAAACTTTTTTTAGCAGACGTAGAGTGTGCTAGTAAATGACATGGAGTGTTCCTATGATTGTAAATTCTACGTGGTAACATGTATATGTATATTCTCTCTGCAGGACTGCATCAGTTTGGGCACCAGTGAGCCCAACACGTGTGAGTATCGCTCCTTTGTCCTGTACCACAACAACAGCCCACGCTGGAGTGAGATGGTCAAACTGCCCATCCCCATCGACCGCTTCAGAGGCTCCCACCTGCGCTTTGAGTTCAGGCACTGCTCCAGTAAGTACCATCATGCTACTGGAATAATGTATCCAATATGATGGCAGTAAGTTAGTCATCTTTATTGATATTGCGCTTTCACATTGTCTCTAAAGTTGCTAGTAGTCACAGAGAATTCACACACAGAAATGAGATTATATTTTAAAGTTGGAGCTCCTAAGTTTCAAACCAGATACAATGGAACAATGTACTAAGATCCATTTGTTAAAAAAAAAAAATATATATATATATATATACATTCTTGTATAGCCTTAAAACACAACCGTTGAATTTGCCAACACAGATCAGAGAAACAGTTCAAACACAAGAACAGGCATATTATTCTGGCCTTTGTCCCATCACAGAGGACCACTCTCACTCAGCCAATCAGCTCTCAGTCTGAAGTGGCGAGGAGTGACTCACAAGGCCCTCTCATGCCAAAGGAAACATGATTTCTAATAAGATGAAGACAGTATGTATAGGCCTGATTTATTCACAACCGTACAATACTTTTAGAAAACCCTTTCGGTTACAACATTTGTTATTTATTAAGAAAGAAAGTTAGGTAACCCAGCTTTAAGGAGGGAATTACTGTAAATATGAAACACGTTTTGCTTGAACTACAATTTGTGGAATAATGTAAAATTAATTAAATTGAAAGATACAAAAATCACGAGAAAATTGGATTTGTGTTTAGGAATATTTGAACTCTCCTTCCATGATGTACCAGTGTTTCCTTTCTACAAAAATGAAAAAAACTTCTGGTACTTGTTCCTCTGATGAGATATCTTTGGAATTGTTTGTTTTTGTGTGACATATATTTGGCACATTCAAAGTACTAACTAAACTGTCATAATCCACAGATACATAAGATACACAAAGTTCCTTCTGGCATAAATAATATTGATTCTGATTCAAAAGTTGGTGTGAAGATGTGAAGAAAGTTGTTTTCTTTTTCAGCTAAAGACAAAGGAGAGAAAAAACTGTTTGGTTTTGCGTTCACTCCACTGATGAGGGAAGACGGCACCACACTGTCAGACGAGGTCCATGAGCTGTATGTGTATAAGGTAAGGCGAAATATACACACGCACACACACACACATACACACACACACACACACACAGACATGCAAACACTGACACACACACGCACATACAAACACTGACACACACGTGCAAACACTGACACACACACACATGCAAACACTGACACAGACACACACACACACACACACACACAAACACTGACACACATATGCAAACACTGACACACACACACACACACATGCAAACACTGACACACACACACACACACATGCAAATACTGACACACACACACACATGCAAACACTGACACACACAGACACACACACCTACAAAAACTGACACACACACACATGCAAACACTGACACACACAGAAACACACACCTACAAACACTGACACACACACACACATGCAAACACTGACACACACACATGCAAACACTGACACACACAGACACACACACCTACAAAAACTGACACACACACACATGCAAACACTGACACACACACATGCAAACACTGACACACACAGACACACACACCTACAAACACTGACACACGCACACACACACACACAGACACACGCACACACATGCAAACACTGACACACACAGACGCGCACATACACATACACTCACATACAAGAAATGTATCCATACATATATCTAAATTATCTAAATTTAAACGTCATACCAGTCTTGTGTTTTTTCCATTAGTTTTCTCCTGTGTTTTTCTCAGTGTGATGAGAATGCCACGTTCAGTAACCAGGGCCTGTACCTGAGCCTGCCCTGCTGTAAGGAGGACTTCAACAGCTGCGCTAACCTCCCAGCTAACCTGCCCTTCCAGAGGAGCCCCAAGGAAACTTTCTGGGTCTCCACCATTCTCTGCTCCACAAAACTCACACAGAACGGTATTGTTTCAGAAATATTTTTTAAACTACGTGTAGAGTCAGTTAAAAGGTTCCTTTCTGTCTCTGGACTGAGCACGAAAAAGGCCTGACCCTCCACATATAAATAAGAAATGTCCACAAAAAGATACTTGAATAATAAATAATATACATTTCTTACAAACAAAAAGGATAAATCAAAATGAACAAAGCAGGTAGGAGAGAGAGTGAATGAATGAACTTCTACAGCCACACCTCCAGGTGATACTGCACACCTTATAAAGTCTTAACCCAATACGTCCAACTAGAGACAGAGATGTCCATGGGGGGTAAATAACATACTTTTCTTTGCTGCATATTGTGATGATGGATCTGACATCACCATGTTACCAAGAGTCCAGGATCTATGTCAAATTGAGTTAAGGTTTGTTTAGGGTTTAGGGTTAAGAGTTTTGGGTAAAGGACCAGGACAAACTTTAACATTGTTCCTGGACTTGCTGATATCAGATTGTGCAGATAGTTTTAAATCTCATCATTGATCTAAAACATCTTCTGAATGAGACAAAATTGTTGCACACTTCCATATTTAGTCCTGCCAAATGGATTTGCACTTTGCCCTTTTATGTGACCTCAGCAGGAACGCGGTCACGTTTAGCATGAGTGGGTGTTTTTACTATGACAAAATGCATGGGCTGTGCTTACAAATCAGCAACATATTGTAGATTCAAACAAAGTGTATGGAAAACCCGTGGGGAGCAATGGCCTCTCGGGGTATACACTGCAAAAAATGATCAAATATTAACTGCTTATTAACTGAGCGCGTGGTCTGTATGGAGAAATATCAGACCGCGGCCTTAATGTACAGTGCAAAAAGGCCAAGGTCTGTTATTTCTCTGTACAGACCGAGCAAGCAAGGTTAATAAATGTTTTATTATATGACTCTCGTCTGTGTCTTTATCAATGCTTATGAGATATTTGTGAAGTATGTTCATGTCCAACTTGGTTTTGTGTGATACGGGCTGTGGATCGATTGTCATGGTAACGGTCCGTGGAAAGATATCAAATGTGATACACGCTGTTCGGACCAATTGTCATGGTAACGGTCCGAGATGGGAAAATATCAGACCGCAGATCAACCAATCAGAGCGCGCGTACGGTCCAAGTCATATAATAAAAGGTAATAATTGGTTGAATGGAGTGGATTTTTATCTCAATCTGAGTACATTCTAACTGTCTTAAAACAGGATTTGTCAATGGCCAAATGTTATCATTTTTTGACTTACTTTTCATCATTTCCTTATAAGAAATATAAAGTAAAGGACACATAATCAGTTGGAGAATGGCCCCTTTACAGTAATGTGCCATCTCATTCATACCACTCCCAAGTTTGGATAATAGACAGATAGTTCTCATTGAAGTCTGCATGTTACAACCTCTGACGGGAAAAGTAACAGGAAATAGTAACAATAATATAAAAGATGTCTATCGAAAGTGTAAATATTAAACTAAGTGTGTTTGTGCCTGTGTTTGCAGTGGACCTCCTCGCGCTCCTGAATTGGAAAGCTCACCCCGACAGAGTCTTGGACATCCTGGGACGACTGCGTCAGATCAGCGGAGAGGAGATCGTCAAAGTTGGTGTCTTTAGATTCTTATAACTCATTGCTGTTATTTCAGTCTGATCACTTGTATGTCGGACAATTTGAGACCAGTTCATCTGCATTTTCTCTTTTGTTACTTGAAGCAATAAATGATCTTTTAGTCCTCTCAATGATGGGTTTGAAAACATTAGACTTTTTATATGTATTTAACTCATTTCCAATTGTGGACAGTGAAACACCATTCCAAACACAAAATATAACAATTGACTATTCCAAACATTAAAAGTCCAGACACAACATTGAAAAGGAGTGCAAATAGTACAAAAACATATTTATTATACGTGGTAGACATAGCAATTCAAAAAGTAGGTTATTTTAATGAGAGATATTTAAATGTGAAGATTAAATTGTTGAAAATGTCATTGATCTGTTATTTTGTCAGTTTCCGGCTTATAGTAGAATATTGACACGTCGTGGCTGGTATGACATCTCTGTTCTACTTTTCGTGTTTTTAGTAAAAGGGCGAGCTGCTACTATTTTTATCCCTGTCACGTTCTTTGTTGTAACGCTGTGATGTGTTTTTCTCTTTTCAACAGTTCCTTCGAGATGTTCTGGACACACTTTTCTGTCTCCTGGACGATAATACTGACAAATATGGACCTTTGGTTTTCCAGTCACTGGTAGGAAATGTGGGAGTGTTTAACCCACATCATGTTCAATTTATTAGTGCAGCCATTCCCAAACTCAGTAACACCGAGGCCCCCTTAAAAATCTGACGGGTCTGCGTGGCCCCCCCAAAATAATAACCAAGAAGACAACATTAAGAACAGGCTCTTCTGGTTATTTTATTTTGGGGAAATAGCCTCTGCTACAAACATTGTAATACAAAAATGATTACAGTGGATTATTCAAGTCAAATAATGAACATAAATATTTTAATATTACAAACAAAACATTATAAATTTAACATTAAATAATTATATTATTTTTTTTATTTTTTTTATGACCTCCCGCGGCCCCCCTTCAGTACCCTCGCGGCCCACCAGGGGGCCGCGGATCCCACTTTGGGAGACACTGTATTAGTGACAATAGTTAAAGTATGTCTACATTTATGTCCTCAGATAATGGGTCACATGTACAAATCAAATTAGATTTTTCCTCTACAGAAGTATAAAATGGAGTTATTTTTCATTTATGTTTAAAATGTTCAAGTAGAATGAGGACCTCATAAGGGTTGCCAGTTTTGTTAGGAGAAATTTAGCTATAGTCTTTTTTCCCAAAAAAATCACACAAAAAAAATAGCACAACACATTTGTTTGAATGAAGGTAGATGCAAAAATAAATCAGACGTAACATAGAGTTTGCACTGTTTCTAGCTAATCCCCAGCAGGTGGATTGCATCAGAAATCAGTCCTTAGGCGCTACAGAGATTCTGGCAACAAATGTTGGATTGTAATCGTAACGACTTTATTAGACCATAAAAAAGACCATAAACATGACATTAAATCCTCCACAAAGAAATGACTAAACTGCATTTACATGTCTGTTTTTCAGGTGTTCATTATTAACTTGCTCAGGGACAGCCGCTTCTACCACTTCAGACCTGTCATGGACGCCTACATCCAGAATAATTTTGCTGGAGCATTAGCATACAAGTAAATCATATTTATCAAGAGAGAGGAAGATTGATTTGATTTTGGACATTAATGCAAATGCACTTGTCTCAACTAAATTTTGTGTGTGCAGAGAATTGATCCGATGTCTGAAGTGGTACATGGATCGATCGGCCGAGGTGGTGAGACAGGACCATATCCAAGAGGCCATGAGGGTAAGTTCAAGGGATATTATGAAAAATACTGTTTTCTCGAGATAGGAAACAGATTTTAGTGGTGGCAGGATACTTCTCTCATAGGTGGAGCGTGGCCTGCGTTTAGTATCACCACAGTTTGTAGATTTACTGCTGACTCATTATTCTCAAGATAGAGAGCCTGTTTAAAAGAACCTTTTTACAGCTTGATCTTAGTTTCCTTCATAAACCGTATTTTAGGAGTTGACTGAACGAGCGCAAACGTCACCATAGTCGTTGTCGAATGTGGAAGAAGCAGATTTGAACATAACATAATGGTTCAGAAGAGGTTAGCTCCGCGCCTTTATTAGGTGCAGATGTGCTGCTAACATGGTTGCTAAGGCAAGCAGGAGTTTTGCCCATGAATGAAGGCATCTGATTGATCAACCCTTATGGATCATATCAGGATTTACAAAGACAGCACCAAATTTAAAACCTAGGATCATAGAGAGCGCAAAACCACAGATTTTTTTAAGGCCAAAATGGTGAGTGGGACACAAACGTTCACTGGGATAGAGTTAAACAGGAGTTAGGAGTCAGAGCAAGTTGGAGCAAAACTTTGTCCTTGAGCACTTTAATTGGGCTTTCATTTCTATTGGTCTTCTTTCAGCTCGGGGGTTAGCAATGCTCATCTAAAATAGTGTTACATAAAGGCGTTCAGCTCTCACTATTATCGCCTGGAGCCTTCACTGAAATAGCCTGGTCGTACCACATAGTATAAATTACATATTGTACTAAGGTCTGGAGGCGCTCCATTGAGCTCTGTGAACAGGTGGGAGGGGTTAACTCTTTTTGCAGATTGAAACGATTGGATCTGAGTTTACCGTGACGTATGTAATGCGCCCGAGTGAGTTGTTAGCATGTAGCATTTAGCCTAGCCATCTCCTTTGCCACTAACGTAGCCCATGGGGAGTAGCGCCACAATCTTTACCAGCGATTACATTTGCTAAACATTCCTCTTGCTCCCGCTTCAATTTTTTGATAGAACCAGACCGGATTACTTTACTATCGCATTTTTCGCCATTGCCAAACTACAACCTTCCCGTTTGACGCAAACTCTTGACGTCACCCACATCTAACTACAACACCCGCCTCCTGCGCTCGCTGATTGGTCGGATGGAATTCAACCAATTGTAATCGCTAACACAGGGACCAGACCCAGACGTACCATGCCAGGAAATGATAATTGAGCGGAGTGTACTGAGGCCAGGCTATCACTGAAATAATCCATAGAGGAAGCATATTATTGATGTAGATAGAGTTCTGTCCTTGGATTTCCATTGTAATCTGTTTGCACAAGTAGATACATTTACCTCGTCGCTGCTGAGAAATGTTCTTGGCTTGTTTAGAATGCTTGGGAAGAATAGCTAAACCAGTGGTGAGGAGCTTCAGCTGTCAATCAAGGGTTCGAAATAGAGCGTCTGATCAGGAACCTGTGGGGGCGAGACAAACTGGCACTGGTTCTGGTTCAGAAACGTCTCCATTATCACAACTTAACTAACTTTCGTTTTAATATTGATGCCACTTTTTGCTGTGACTTTGCCTTCTCCACGTTGAAGCCAAAGTATCTCATAATGTGATGTGTAAGGAAACTGAAAGCCAAATGTTAAAATGTTTGTCCAATCCAATTTATTTATGTAGCACATTTAAAAGTAATGTAAAACAGTAAAATCATTAAAAATCAAAGAGGATAAAGCCGTAATCATACATATACATGCACACACATACACAAACATATAGGGCGAGGGTTAGGGTTTATATGTATACTTGAATGCACATATCGGTCAAACAAAATAAAATAAAACAACCGTAAAACTCACACAGTGTTAAAAGACAGCATAAAAATGTGTCTTAAGACGAGACTTAAAAAACTCCACAGAAGGAGCAGTTATTATGCAATTTTGTATCATGCAATAATAGTGTGGTAATATCGTGGCCCTTTGTGTGTGTAATCCAACGTCCTCTTTTGCCCAGGCGCTGGAGTACCTGTTCAAGTTCATTGTGCAGTCCCGGATCCTGTACTCGAGGGCCACGTGTGGGATGGAGGAAGAGCAGTTCAGGGCCAGCATCCAGGAGCTCTTCCAGTCCATCCGCTTTGTCCTCAGTCTGGACTCACGCAGCTCTGAGAATCTGGTCTTCACACAGGTCAGACGGGACGGAAACACAATATTATGCAAAATCGTGCTTTTTGGATTTTTGTTACAACATTCATTCCTCATCAAAAACATACCTGGATTTGTTTTAGATGCATTCCTGCTCCTGTCATTCTTTACACTGCAAGCCTTCAGTCACACCGCACAGCATTTACTAAAATGGCTGCATGTAGTTCCTCAATCCTACCACTAGAGGTTTTCCATTGTATTTCATTATACATGTATATCCATATATATTCTACTATTGGATTTCACATTTTAATTATAAACATACATTTGAGTAAAACCTCTTGAGCTCAAGTTTAAAGGAGATGTCTGCAACTTCCATTGAATTTAACTTTTAAAATGACCATATGACCCTCTAGTATCACGTAGTATCAGTATTTTTCAAAAGTCATACAGTTTTGGTTCCAACCGGTGCTTGCTTTGGAAAAAAAAATCTATACTCTTACTCTAGCATCTTACTGCCCTTAAATAATAGGTTAATAAATCTATATACTGTTTGTGTGGTCCATTGAAAGTACATGTGATTATTGTGAATTTGTTTGTATCATGCTGTCACATTTTATTTTAATTTTGCTTGTTTTATTTCTCTTCAGGAGTTTGGTTTTGTGCATGTTTCAGTGTCATTGACCCATTGTCGGTTTGCTTTTGGACAGTGTAGAGGTGTGAGCATCTGCATGGCTCTCTGTGTTCTGTCTGCTGGGGTTTCAAACATCCCAGTAAGTCTCACTGCTCATGTTTTTGTGTTGTTTTGATTGTATTTATGTCAATGATAATGCTGTTTTTGTCATATGTACTGGCTGAAGAAATCTGTGTATTTAAACTCCAGATTTCAGCTGTATTTCTTCAGTTGAATTGTACCTCAGTGTATTGTAATTGCTGATGTTTTTACTGATTAAAAAGTCTACCATTGGGCCGACTTGCCTCTCTGCAGATAGGACTTGAATCTTGGCTGAGTGAAGTCATTAACAACAATTTTAGACCAAGTTCTGAAAAAACAGCAACATTTAGATGGACCCAAGAAAAAAACAGACTGCCCACCAGGAAGGAAGCCTAGTTTAGTTTAGTTTAGTGTATTAAGATCCCCATTAGCCACTGAGGTGCACCTATAATGAACTAAAAGCACTCTACATTTTAGTTTTGTACCTAGTTCTTGCTTCTTCATTATGCTAAAGATGGAGATTTTAGATTTGCTTCCTTGTATGATGTATATTTGTGTCTCGTGCCGCTCGACTCCAAACCTGCTGTGTTTCCGGCTCCTCTGCAGGCGGCTCTGCTCAACAGCTTTCCCGACATCTTTGATGAGCTCCTGCAGATGTTCACGGTGCAGGAGGTGGCGGAGTACGTGAGGGGCACCCTGGGGAGCATGCCCAGCACCGTGGACATCGGACAGTCCATGGACGTGGTCAAGCTGCAGTCCATCGCCCGCACTGTGGAGAGCAGGCTTTTCTTCTTCCCAGGTGATAACAGAGGAGAGGTTTTGTTGTCTGTTGTGCACACTGGATATTTCTCATTGTATCTATTAATGTAAATGTAACTAAAGTATATGATCTTCTCATTTGGACTTTTTTAGTGTTTTTATTACCAACTCAAGTATAATAAATACTGTATAACGCTAGTTTTTTCTAGTTCCTGCGGCTTATATAGCGATGCAGCCAATATACGTATGTATTTTTTGTGTGGTAGAGTTGGGCTATTGTCAGAGCAGAGTTTATGGACTTATTTTGACTCCTTCATGTTTTACCAGTTATAGAACAATTGTTTATTCTCAAAATATACAGCTGAATAAGTGGTGCCAGCAACAGTTAAGTCGTTAAACCATTTATTGTTATGTGTTGTGACCGGTTATATTAGTCGTCTATCTGCTGCATTACAACATGTAAACCTCCTGCTTATATTCAAGTCTATGTGTAAGCATAATTTACTATCCTTTAAAAATTTGCTGGTGTGGCTTATATATAGGTATATATATTAATTCCAGAAAGTACTGTAAAAATAATACATATATAGATTAACACCAATGAAATAAAATCACAGTTTGTGAAGAAAACTGTATGAACGTACAGGAAGTAAAGCATCATTTTGGAAAGGGTGATAAGAATTTAAAACATACAATAATGCCACTCGACTAAATAAACATATTTACTTATAATACATTTTGTGCAGTTTATTACTTGGTTTTAAGATTTTGAATAAAGCCAACATCCCTTTAACAACCCAAGAAGTATCATTAAAAATTTAAGAAACTCTAAATCTTTCTCTAAATTTCATTCCACAGCATGCCACTTCCATTTTGCCAAAATATTTTTAAACAGTTAGATCTTGTTTTTGAGTGCATCTATCAAACAACTTCGAAGAAAGTAAAACATGGCACCCACACATTTCAAGTTTGTAGACCCTAAATATAAATCTCCACAAATTTAGTTTTCAGTATTTTCTTCTAATTCAAACCATTTGTTTTAATTTTTGTCAGTGTTTTTCTCTTCTTTTACTTCAATCTAAGTTTGTAAATAAGTTTTCTTTATTTAATCTTTGCGAATTAAAACCGCACTTTAGTGCAACAAACTGCGCGTTTGTCTCATGCTCTGCTCTGATTACAGCCGCTGATTGGTCAGAGCGCCGCTGAGCCACACACACGTATTTGGTGTAAAGCATCATGGGAGCTTGTCTTTTTATGTTTACGCTCATCAAAGGTTTATGTAAAATCTTAAATGTAAAGTGATGTAAGTATTTTCTCTGATTCCTTGGTCCAGAGTCCCGGAGTATCTTGTTACCCGTCGTGCTGCATCACATCCATCTCCACCTTCGCCAGCAGAGGGAGCTGCTCATCTGTTCGGGCATCTTGGGAAGCATATTTTCCATCATAAAGTCGAGCTCAATGGTAAATACTGTTTGTGTTGTATGCAAACTATGCTACTTTTTATCAGTGATGGCTGGTCATAGATGTGGTTTAGTGTTTTTGCGGTAGTGATTTGTAATTGAATCTAGACAATGTTTAATTCTGTAGTTGGCCAATTGACAATTTTGTAAAGTCCTCTGCGACATCTGCTGTTGTGTATTGGGGCTATACAAAAATACATGGAATGGAAAAAAATTGACACATAACTATTTAACAAGACTAGAAAATAACACATTTTTGCTCATTTACAATTAGCAACTGGCTAATTAGCTTACGTCAACTGCTATACACAATGTAAGTCAATAATGTAATTAAACAATTACAACCACATACACCATATTTAACATCCTAGTGAAAAAAACAGAATGACATCTGTGTGAATGGTGTGTGTATGAATGGTGTGTGTACATCCAAGAGGCAGGACTTAACGCTTAACACTTTAGAATGTGTGTGAGATTCTTTTGATACAGGGCCATTTTTGGTTATTTTTTCCAAAAGCTTCGGACAAATGCAAATGCAATACAGATTGATGACAATAATCTACTAAGGATTATATAAATCCCACCTCTGCACCTTCTCCACCGACTCCCACTGATGACTGCTGTCGTTGTGTCCTTGGGCAAGACACTTAACCCCACTTTGCCCAAAGCCCCCACTGAAAGATCAAGGCTATGCTCACACTCAGAGAGCAGCTGTCCTCCTGTGGACTCACCACCTGCAGAGGGTCAGTGAGGGGCTGGTGCTATGAGACTTGGGTGGCATCTCTGACTGTCACCCCCCTGACCCAGAAATGGATTAAAGGGTAGAAAATGGATGGATGGATGGATGGATTATATAAATAAAAATCACCCATATTTTCCTATCTTTCTTCAAATTTTCTGGGCGGACTTAGCCCACCTCTAGCCTTTCGATACAAGCCAAGGGCTTGTTGTTGACCCCTGTCCCCTGGTTTTAGGAGTCCTCAGTGCAGGAGGAAGTGGAGATGATGGTGGAAAGCCTCCTGGACGTGCTCCTGCAGACACTTCTGTCCATCATGAGCAAGTCTCACTCAGTGGAGACATCTAGAGGACAACGCTGCCCCCAGTGCACAGCCGAGATAACTGTAAGCACCAGCCTTTGTGTCTAATACCATGTGATGCAACGCAGATGGCATATTACTCCATGTTTTCTACAAATGGCTGTTCTTTCATCCAGGGGGAGTATGTGTCTTGTCTGCTGTCGCTGCTGCGGCTCATGACAGAGCTCCACTTCCATCATCTGCTCAACAACTTCCACAGCAAAGAGGAGCTTAAGGTTGGATGCCTTTGATATCAGGGATGCACTGATCCAGCTCAATATGTACTGAGTTAAAGCTGGGGTGCTTTACTTTAAACCGCAAACATATGATCTATGTCATGCATGTGATTTAGTTTCTCGCTCTCAAAAAGGAAAAATGGTTGGTTCTAGCAATAGTGTCCACATGCATTTGTATTTGGGCTCTTTGTCACATCTTTAGGTCTGCTTTTTCAGAGAGTAAAGTGTAAAATAGAATCACTCAGGTTGCAGTAGTCCTATCAATGCAAAATGTGACACGTACATTTCTCCAGTGTGAGATCAATAAAGTTCTATCTATCTTATCTTTTCCTTTTTCAGCCAATCAGCTCTCAGCACGAAATGTCAAATAAATAACGATTAAAGTAGCAATATGTAAGATTTTGATGTCAAGTCATCAGTGAATGGCCCTAATCTGTCAAAAGGCATTAATAAACCATGCTCTTTTCGAATACTTCTTTAACTGATAACAGTAGTTCAGCCGAGATAAAACGAGGATTTCTTCCGGGGCCTTTGTGAATAAGGTGTTGGTTATAGATTTGTAGTTGACAAAACTCTTTTAAATGTGTCTGCATATCTGGCAACTTGAGTCAGGGAGAGTGGGAGAGGTTGCAGTACCACTTTTGGCCAGATTTTTTGCATACTGCTCCTTTAAATGTTGATAAATGTCCATGAATATGATCCAACACATTCACCCGAGCCAGCATCAGTGCATCCCTAATTACAGACTAAACAACATTTTATTTTTCTTGCAGGAGTTTCTATTGAAAATCTTCTGCGTATTTCGAAATCTGATGAAACTTACGATCTTCCCTCGAGACTGGAGCGTGATGAGGCTTCTAACCAGTCAGTGAGTCACATTTGTTAATATTTTGTCACCGCAGCCCACGATTAGCCTATCAGTCTGCGTAGGTTATCCTGAAGGTGATGCAGGTCGAGTCTTTCCTTCTCATCTATTTTTGGCTGACATTTTGTTTTGAAGATGACAGAGTGATTGTTTGCTGTGTTTTCTGCAGTATCATTGTGGTGACAACACAGTTCCTGTCTCCAGCGCTGCACAAGAACTTCTCAGAGGCGGATTTTGATTTTAAGGTCTGTATGTGGGATGTTCTACTTAAAGCTGGGGCACGTAGTTTTCAGATCTCAAAGTGTGCCAAAAAAATCCTTCTAACTAGCTTCTCACTTTCAAATCAGTTTGAATCTACTGTATCACTAGTTTTCATATGTGTGTATTTTTGGCCTCCTCCCCTTCTTTAGATCAGCCTTTTCAGAGAAGCATGTAAAGTATAGAGAGGAGCTACTGCCAAAAGTTTAAGATAGTGACTCGAAAGGCTCAAATATAAATACAATTTTGTTTTGTAACAAGATGAAAACAGCATGGTCTGGTGGTCTGATTCGTTTACAACATTTTACTTACTTACTTTACTTTTCTCTTCCTGTTCGCACTGTATATAAATGAACAATACTAACCTCCTGGCTCAATTAAGTCCTATAGGGAAGTGCTCATCGACACGTTTTTTGCTTATTCAGTTACATTTTAAAGTAAACTCCTCTAGCTCTGTAACTGTTTGTGCCACACTCACAATTTTGGGCTTAAAACGTAAAAAATCCATGGTTTAGCACTCTGTTAGATTATGGTTTTTATATTGTGAATTGTCGTTGTAAATCAAGATATGATTCCAAACAAATGACCAATCAAGTTCCTTCTGTTGCCAAATTCGACTTTAGCTTGTGAGTAGCGTTACAGTAGCTCTAGATTGGCACTTGGTAACTCGGCAGAAACTTGTAACAAAATTGACATACATTTGTTGCCACATTCTCGATCAAAAAGCCTGTTGAAGGAAGCTCTAATCGAACTCTTCCGCATTAAGGCTAACACAATTTTTTATTGAGCAAAACCCAGAAATATGTGTACCAAAGCTTTTTAGGGGCGAATTGGTCTTTTTCAGGTTTGATAATGTTTTATGGTTTTTAAAAGACGGGAATATCTAGTTTTAACGAGTGCTATTAAAACATTCTCAAGCTTAGAAACTAGCAATATATATATACATTTTAAAAAATTAAATATTTGTCTGTCTATACAACATGCGATGGAACAGTAGTAATGTAATTTGTTTTTTTATATTTATTATAATGGGTATAACGCTACAACAGCACCATTTGTAATAGAAGCCCTGTCGTATCAGAGACCTTTGTGTTTTTTGTAATAAATGCATATTTGCTTGTTTTCCAGGTGTGGAACTCCTTCTTCAGTCTGACGGTGCTGTACATAAACCAGCCCAGTCTACAGCTCGAGTCTCTGAGTCCAGCGAAAAGAAAGAAAGTCCTGGACAAGTATGACATCTTCAATGCTATTTCGTTCTTAGCCTTTTTCCTGAAACCGTGCTTTAACAAGACATTTCTGTTTAGATACGGAGACATGCGCGTGGTCATGGCCTACGAGCTTTACAGCATGTGGCAAAAATTAGGTAAGCATTTATGTGACATCACAACATTCAAAAGAATATATGGTTTAGAATTATGATGGAGGACAGCTGAATACTTCCTGGTCACTATGATAAAAGTCAGACATCTTAGTTTAGTTTAAGATTAATGTCTCCATAATCCCTGGGCCAATCCTTACGAAACAACACCTGTCAAATGTACACATCTTTTTTGTCATTTGATTGTTCATTATTTTCGCATTTCTCGTCATTGTAAAGTTGTGATAATTATCAATAAATATGCATGATTTTGGCAAATGAAAGGACTAATAACAGGTTTTCTATAGTTGTATTGGAAACTCCACAACATGAAAATAACCTATTGTGATTAGAATGTTACAAAAAGAACACATCGACGAGACTGCTGTTTTACACCCAATAATTCAGAGACAGGTTTGTTATTGTGTTCGATCACGGTCCGGACTTTTCTTTGAATGTGCAAAGTAAGCAGTTGAGATATAAAAGAATGCGCTCGATTGTGCAGACAGGGGCAAACAAATAATAGGATCTTAAAATAGATTATAAAATCAACAGGAAGCCAAGCTGAGGCCAGAACTGCAGTAATGTGGTCAAGCAGTTGCAGATTGAGGGCTGCTTTAAGAGAGTGAGAGACTGTAAACAAGGCATGACGTAATGTTGGTCTGTGCTGTTATAACAATACATGCATACTTCTATTTCTGTCAACAAGAAAAAATACTAAACTAACTACTACTACTAAACTAAAATCAGCTAATCATGCTTTTGAGCTTTCAACCATGGTACCACATTTTTCTTTCATCAAAAACTGATATATATAATGAACTTCTGGCACAAACAGGTCCCACCACCTTTCTTCAAACTTTGTGGGACTCGCTTTCTGCCTGAATTACTTGCAGAATTTCATTACTCAAACTTTGTAATTGTAAATAATGTTGCTATCATACATATTTTATACGCACACAGTCTGCAAATGTAATCACACAACTTTAGGTTTACTTTGGGCATTTGATTTTTCCTAATGCTCAGATGCCGCAGCAAAAATCATTGAATTTTCTTCACATAACAAAACAAAACAACAAAACACATGCAGCAAAGAAAGTGAATCGATCCAAAATAATTGTAAGTATCCGTTACCCCTCGAAAAAGTTACATTTTTTATATATACATGAATTATTTCCCCTTGTGCTCTTAAATGCATCACTGCCTAATTCTCATTCCAATCCGATTGACTTGTTTACATGCAGCTCCTCTAAACAAACTTTTCACACCTCGATTGTCGCGCACAGGTTTACATAACTTGTGTATGAATTGTGCTGTACAAATAAACTTGCCTTGCCTTACATGCATCTTTATTATTTAGATTCAATTAGAGTACAGGAGGATTCAGGTTTCACTAGTGCTTTTTCAGGTTAGAAATCCTTTATTCGATCGCACAGTGGGGAAATTTCAGTGTTGCGTCACAAGTTACAGAACAGTAGAACTGAGAAGCACATAACACAAGATAAATGAATAATAACTCTTAACTAAACAACTACTCTAACTCTAACTCTAACATAAAAAGATTTAGAAGCAGTATAAAATCTCTAAAAGCAAGAAGCATGCACTAAAACCCCTGACTTTAGCGTAATAAGGACTAAGTATATAATGCTGTATATTTAAGTGCAAGTAGTATAGTAAACACACTAACTAATACATTTTGTGGTATTCCAGGTGACAATAAGCCCCATTTTATCCCTGGAATGATGGGTCCCTTCCTCGGAGTCACTCTGGTCCCTCAAACAGAAGTCCGTAATATTATGATCCCAATTTTCCACGACATGATGGACTGGGAGCAGAGAAAGAACGGGAACTTCAAGCAGGTCGGTGTGACATTTCATTGAGCAAATTATTTACCGTTTTCCCAGTGATTATACAACAGTGTTTGGAAACGTGTTTAAATGTGTGTGTAGGTGGAGGCCGAGCTGATGGATAAGCTGGACAGCATGGTCGCAGATGGGAAAGGGGACGATAATCACAGAGAGCTCTTCAGTCTGTTGTAAGATAAATCCTGTCTTTATCCAGTCAAAATCAAAGCTAAACAAGAACTATTCACACTAAACACATTTCCTTTCTGTTTTTTTTTTTTTCAAGGACACAGTTGTTTGGTCCATATCCAAGGTGAGTTTGGAAGCAAAATCTTGAACTAGGTTTGACCCGAATAAATGTATTTCTATAATTTAAAGTCGTTGGTGGATTGACACCTGATTGGAATTAAAACATATATAGTTTTACAAATTGAAACATATTTTGCACTTTCTGGACAGTAGAGCAGTGTTCTCGAACGGCTGACATCACATTAGGGCATTTTTTTAGGACCTTTTAATGATCCACTCAAGTAAATGAATATATAATGGAAAATGTTTTGATCATTTTAGATCATACATTGGAGAGGATTTGGCACAGTTTATTACATATTACAAATATAATTCAATCCAAAGACATACAAACAACTCTTATAAAACATTTTCATAGTATTAATTTACAAAATGAATACAAAGATTAAAATAAAGTAAGGCCTCTAAATTAGTTGTGTGAAATTGTGCACTCAAATTACACAACAAATTTACAACTAAACTAGATCATGTCATCTTTAAATAGTTAGACATATCAGCAGAATATAATCACCCACTTAGATAGGAGTGTTGCTCTTTCAAGTCCTACATTTGTAATTTATGCATATCATTTCAACTTTAGAAGTGGTCACAGATTTAAACATGATAAAGCAACATTCAATTTAATAATACAAAGTTTTTCAATGTGACGTAATCTTCTCCTTTACAGTCTCTTGGAGAAGATTGAGCAAGAGACCTGGAGAGAAACAGGAATCTCATATGTTACGTCGGTCACCAGACTTGTTGAACGTCTCCTAGATTACAGGTAAAAGACACAATAATAAACATAAAAATTTTACTTTTAATTAATATTTTAAAAATCAAACAACAATTTCTCTCCTCAGGGACTGTCTGAAAGGAGATGAGATGGAAAACAAGAAAATAGGAGGTTCAGTCAATTTAATGGTAAGACTTATACCGTATCTATATATTTACATACTGTTTGATTGCGAACCATAATTATAATGTTTTTGGCATGTGCTTTTGTTGTGCTTTAGAACTTCTACAAATCAGAGGTGAACAAGGAGGACATGTACATTCGTTACATCCACAAACTGTGCGACCTCCATCTCCAAGCAGAAGACTTCACAGGTAAATCTACGGTGATAAAGAGTCATATTTACCATATCCTTTACCATAACTATAACACATTTCTACCACTTGATGCGACTGTTGCGTTTTATCGCCATCTCTCTCCGGGGAGTTCATCCATTACTAGAAAACATGTTATCTTTTGCATACTCTGCCCTGTGAGTCACTATTTGACGTTTTGGGCCTAGTGAGGGCCTGGAAAAGTTGATCTGATGTGAAAACTAGGAATAGAAGCAAACTGTTTTGTGAGCGAGTAACTAGTTAGATAGATTTGATTACTTCTGCTTTATGGTGGTTTGAAAGTTGGGTACCCTGGCTTTGAGACAATACAAACAAATCACAGTTTAAGACAGGAAATGGCAATATACACGTGAATACTAAACTCAGAAACTTTAGATATTACTCTGTTTTTGTTCTTATTGTATAATTATGTATTTATCATTTTAAGGAAAAAAATGGACGCATCTCTTTGACACATGCATATGATAGTTGCCATGTAGAAGTCAGTACATGTTTCTTTGTGTTCTCCCCGACAGAGGCAGCCTTCACTCTGCTGCTGTACTGGGAGCTGCTTCAGTGGGAAGACCGGCCGCTCAGAGACTTCCTGCACTATCCGTGTCAGAGCGAGTGGCAGCGCAAAGAAAACCTCAGCCGAAAAATACTCCACTACTTCAACAAGGGAAAGGTATGTGTGGCTAAGCCTGGACAAAACATGTGGATAGGACGATTGTGTTGACATTTTTTGCATTGTCGTTTTGTCTTTCCAGTGTTGGGAATACGGGATTTCTCTCTGCCGGGAGCTGGCTTTCCAATATGAGAACTTGTATGATTATCAGAGCCTCAGCTGGATACGAGTAAGTAAAATAGTATTACTGTTATTTGGCCACACCTGTAATCACCTTTTGGGAGATGGATGGTGAGGCTTTCATTGCATCAGCTGCAAGAAATGTATGAGAATGTGCATCTAATAATTAAAGTTATCACCATCTAGACACCTTGCAGACATAGTAACCATTGAGAATTTGCCTGATAAGATAATCATACAATAATTGGTTTATATGAACGTAATTTCTCAACAAAAAACCCTGTACTTTTGTCTGGCAGGGCTAATAACCATTATTTGCTACTTGGGAATAACCATAATACCTAACGGGCTGGGGGCACCTAATATTCGCTTCTGTAAAACCTTCAGAGACTTTAAACTTAAACAAAACCAAATCTCCAACAGGTCTGTGCCTTGATTGTTGATTTTTAAAAGTAAAACGGGGAAAATGTTCTCTGATGTTCCTTGTGTCCCGCTAATGTAAATGCTGTAGTTCTTCAAACGGCCAGCAGATGGCGAGTGTTTCAATTGCTTTAGTGCAATAAAAACACACTTGCCGGTGTTTTAAAGTGTCTTCTCAGTCTTCTCATCAGAACTCATTCACTTCAACAACTCCCACTGAAGGTTTTACAGTTTATCAACTTTTCTGAATACAGCTTCTATCCCCCCAAGCCGAAAAGCATTATGGGATTAAGGAAAGTAGCGAATAGCGATCTGAATATTTAAGGACAGATATAGATATTCAGCAAAAGAGTATTTTTTGAGATTTTAACCATGTTACAGCACTATTCTCTCATCACAAACAGACCTGAGGTTGTTTTAGCTCCATCCATGTCTGACCACAAAGATTGCATAATAATTGTTCTTTAATAGATAATGCATAGGTCTCTTCACTCCATTTGCTTCCGCATTATCCATTGCCGGTAAGCAGAGACGCCCAGACTTCCATCTCCACGCACACTTCCATCATCTGTGGGAATGTTCATAAAGTTCACAATCTTTGGCTCAGTTTATTATCCGCGATCAAAGTATTCACGTGTTTTCTTTTTACTGGAACTGTGGCAGAAAATGGAGGCAGCATATTACGACAACATCATTGAGCAGCAGAGAATCGAGCCGGAGTTTTTCCGAATGGGATTCTACGGCCGCAAGTTTCCCTTCTTCCTGAGGGTAAGACATTATTGTAGCAAACATTGATAGCTTTTCCTCTTGATTTCCTCTTCACCCACACTGCCTGATGTGAGTCTAGTGCGTGCGTGAATGATGGTGGCGGTCGGCACATACTAGTGGCCTCGCTTCTGTCAGTCTGCCCCAGGCCAGCTCTGGCTACAGTAGTAGTTTATCACCACTGTGTATTTAGCAAATCATTTGTGTAATTTACATATGTAGATAACTATCATTTGTGTATAATATATATGTAGATGATTCTCTACTCTCTACTTTTACGGACAAACACATTTTCCTTTAGTCTTTCCATCCTCATGTTCTCCTTCAGCACCAAAGATAGGTCGCGGCGGCAGCAGTTTGAGCCACACTGCCGTCAACTTGCACCGTCCACTCTGCTCGGAAGACCTCTGCAGAGGCGCTGTAACAGAGGAAAATAGATTTCAATCTTTAAAAGATCTAAAACTAAATAACAAAATTACAATCACACTTCAGGCAGATGTTAACTCCTCCCTACAGAGGTTATAAGATAAGATAAGATAAGATAAGATGTGCTTTATTTATCTCACAGAGGAGAAATTTACATGTCACATTTGGCATGGATAGAACACTCAGATTGTGCAAAAGGAGGAAATGTGCAAACATGTTACATGCAGGATATATATGTACAATAAAAGTGACAATAATTATGTACAACAAAAGTGACAAGTGTCAATTGGAAACAGTGTCAATAGTAGTGCAGGTTTTCACACAGTGATCATTTAAAGTGACTTATTGTACAGTCTGACAGTGGTGGGGATAAAGGCCCTGCGGTAGCGCTCCTTCCTACACTGAGGGTGCCTCAGTCTTCCACTGAAGGAGCTCCTCAGCTCCTCTACAGTCCTGTGCAGTGGGTGGGAGGTGTTGTTCATGATGGAGGTGGCTTTGGCTAGCACCCTCCTGTCCCTCACCTCCTCCACAGAGTCCAGGGAACAGCCCAGAGTGGAGGTATTATAGTGCTATTTATTGTAATATTTTAGGGATTGCACACTCTTATTTAGAGCTAATTGTGTATGGAATTACACTATTTAAAACTAAATTGAGTACTAAAGTGCTTATACGTGCATGTGAAAGTCAGATCCTGTCAGACCTCCGACGCTGTACAGGGTGGGACCTGGTGAGTTCTGTGATGGGAGACCTCTGGGAACACCAGGTGCTACAGTGGAGCAGCTGTAAAGTGCCAAACTGTTGTTGAGTCCTTAGACTTAGGTTACCTTTTCAGTTGCTGCTCTCTCGTCTTGTAATCATTTAGTCTGGTTTCTTTTTTCAGAACAAGGAGTTTGTCTGTCGTGGTTATGACTATGAGCGGCTTGAGGACTTCCAGCAAAGGATGCTGGGAGAGTTTCCACAGGCCATCGCCATGCAGCACCCGAACCAGCCGGACGACACCATCCTGCAAAGCGACGCGCAGTGTATCCTTTTCTGACTCTTCTCAACAGGATTTTATTATTCATTATAAACATAATAATATTGTGTTGTTGATCTAAGTCATGTTTATAGATATATTTTCTAGAGTCTCTGTTTCCAACTGTTCAGACTTGTATCTTTGTTGTACCCCACTTTCTTTCTTTTAACAACACAACATTCACTCTCAGTCGTTATACTTAATGGTAAGCATTATGATTGCTGGATAGTTGTTGACTAATTACATATTCCTGAAACCCTTTAGTCCACATGCTAAGAAGTCACTAAATGATAAAAGTGAAAGTGACATCTGGTGTAACTTCATTCCAAATGCCAGCCTTGTGTCTGTGTTTGCTGCCTCAGCGTGTTTGCTCCTTGACACTGCCTCTCAGACTTGCAGATCTACGCAGTGACACCAGTGTCCGACATCTCAGATGTTCCTCAGCTGGAGCGCGTCCCGGAGAGGATCAAAAGCTTCTACAGAATAAACAATGTGTCGCGTTTTCACTATGACAGGCCGTTCCATAAGGGCCCCAAAGACCGAGAGAACGAGTTTAGGGTGAGACAGCAGCCCTCACAGACCCTCACAAAGGACACACTTTGTGCAATTTGAAATTCTTATACAACATTGACTTTTCTGAGCTTTTAATTATGTAGTCTTTAATCAGTTGTTATTAGGTGTTACAGATTTCATTCATCTGTAAATAAGTAAATTCTTAAATCATGTGCAATGTGCAATACTGCAACTTCAGAATGTCACAGAACAATGTCACTTTCCCTTATGTCACTTTACTTATCTACTTATTATCCTGCACTATTTAACTGTACAGTATATAACTGCACTACTACATATATATCTTTTGACTGGTATTGAAGCATTTTCAGCATCTACAGCTAGTTATGTTAGTTAAACATAGCTAATACTTTTTTGTTTATAGTGTGTGTGCTCCCTGTGTGCTCTTACTACTGTCCCATATGTGCACTGCAACATCAAAATTTCCCCACTGTGGGACGAATAAAGGAATTCTTATCTTATCTAATCTTAGATCCATCCACGCTAATATCAGGAACTTCCAGCGCAAAAAATTAAAAACGTTCTTCTTTCTAGAATCTCCTGTCTCAGTCCTGTAATAGTGTGATGTAGGATTTGTTCTTAACTTCAACCTTGACCAACTTAAACCAAAGCAAATCAAACTTGTTGTTGTCATGTTGGCTTTACATTGTGAAGAAAAATTAAATATCCAAACAAAAAATTTATTCTAGGACGTTTTTTTTCCCAAGCAAACGGCAAACCTACAGATCAGCAGTCTCTCGTATGCTGGTAAAAAAAAAATCATTAGCCCCTCCTGCCATAGCCTTGTTTACGCCTGTGGACAAAGAAAACTAAATGAGCAATAATTCAATATAAACAACTTAATTAGATTGTTAGAACAACATGTTTATAAATGGACATCTGCATGACAAGTCCCCTTTAACTACATTTTGAGCTATAGTCATCAGACCTACAGTATCTATCTTTTACGCCTGTAAAATTTCTCCTAAATACCCCTCAAAGTTGGGTATTGTGTTAAAACTGTGAATCATAGGTGTGACAAGAGTCTGACGTAACTCCCCAAGGCCAAATATAGTTCCAGTTATTTATTATTGTATTTAATGAAGTGCTGTTTGTGTCCGCAGATTTACCAAAGCAGAAAATGATTACACTCTTGTTTGTTTTGAGAACAAGAAATTACAATTTTCCTAGGACAAATGACTCATCCATTTAGAACCATGTCTTCCTTCAACAATGCCTTACAGCCCTGTGTCCCTGTGCAGCCGATGTATTAGTCAGAATAAGCAGAACTGATGAAACAACTGAGATGTTAATATATTCTGATAAATTACAGACGACAAAAGCCATCTGCATGAAGCAATTGTTAAGCGAGAACATTCGGCAAAAGCTGTTTAAAGCTATTCGTGACACATTTATAGCTTTTGAAATGTATTTCTTTATCTAGTTTCCCTCATTCCCTCGTCACAAATGCAGACACCAGTAACATGACTTTATTGTGTCTTTGTTCTTACAGAGTCTCTGGATTGAAAGAACAACCCTGATCCTGTCTCGCCCTCTGCCTGGAATCTCTCGCTGGGCCGAGGTGGACAGAAGAGAAGTGGTACGTTGAAATCATAGTCATCATAGTTATATCTTTTGTCATGGTTTTGGCTTAATTTTTGGTTCTTTAGTCAAATACAATATTATCAATAGCGTATTTTTGCTGACTAAAAATCTAAATTCAAATGAAAATAGATTTGTAGCTACTATTGAAACCATAAAAACTTTTTTACTCGTAATAAAATCCATATAACTAGTTCTTACAGCTCCCAAAACACTTTAGTTCTATCATTAGTTTTGACACATTTTTTTGGGTACAGCTTTATCAGACAGAAAAGGAAGCCCATCTTCATTCAGTATGGGAAAGATATGTTGGATGTCGTGGTCCGATTTTTACACATTTACAAGGCTCTTTCTGACTATGAGCAAAAGAAATTGTCTACTAAATGTGCAATTTGGTTAATATACAAAGCGAAGCTAGACCAGAATTCTGAAGACATTTTTGTGAATTAAATCTTGGCGTTTTTAGGATTTTATTATATTAAAATGAGAAACATGGAGACATTCTAAACAACACTAAATCTGGTTCACTTGTGGAGATGTGATAAAACCAAACAAGTGAACAATAGTCACATACATCAGTTCACATGTTTTAATTAATAGTACTTATTTTACACTTGATCCTCAATGGATTTTTGTGAGGACTGAAAAAACTGAAAAAAACCCGGGAAAATAACTTTGTGTTGTTCCAGGTGGAGGTGAGCCCGCTGGAGAATGCCATTTACGTAGTAGAGAATAAAACCCAGGAGCTTCGGACTCTCATCAGCCAGTACCAGCACAGGCAGCATCACGGCAACATTAACCCGCTCAGCATGCTCCTAAACGGGGTCATCGACGCCGCGGTCAATGGAGGCATCGCCAGATACCAAGAGGTGCCAGAGCAGAGAGATGCAATAAGCTGCTAACAACAGGGGAATTTTATTAATGATATAATTTAAATCCAACAGGCGTTTTTTGATAAGGACTACATCAGCTGTCATCCCGAAGACACAGAGAGAGTCACGCAGCTGAAGGACCTCATGCAGGAACAGGTCTGTACTTCAAAAAACATTTAAAAAAGGCTGCTATATGGTCATGCTTGATTGTTACTGACCCCGACGTTGAGAAGCAATTCCTAGATTACCATGTGCTCTCTAACCATGGATCTGTTATGTATCTGGATAGTGTAATACTAGCTTATAGTTGAAAGACCCATGTGCTTGGGGGCTTCCCATGGTACTGAAAGACTAAATAAGACTAAATTCATGGGGGCTACCGAGAGATTTTTCCCCATAGAACTCAATGTAAACCAAAACAGCTCGATATCAGCTGACAGAGAACCTACAGCTTTCATAAAGGTCAGATTTTGTGGGGATTTTAGTGTCCATTGTCATCCTGAACTTTTTTTCTTGTCAAATCCTTCGGTTTTCTATAAATCCACACTTGAGTGCAACAAGCTCGTTTTCTTTAGCTGCGCCTGATGGGCTCTTCTGTGCACGTGCAGGTTAAACACACGCGTGCCTGTTAATAAAGTGTAAAAAGCGTGTGGTGAGGAGATTTACAGCCTTAAAACAAACTGCAGCTACTTTGCGGATTTTGTTCATTGCGGGTTATTTTTAGAAGATAAGATTAACAGAGATTAAGAGAAGATTCAGTGTTTCATCACAAGTTACAGGCAGTAGGAATGAGAAACACAGAACACAGGATGAATGAATAATAACTCTATACTATAATAAATGAAAATAACTCATTTAAAAGCAGTGTAATGAGGAAAGCACCCCGGCAACAAACGAGGCAGCACTGTAATGAGTTGTTTTAGATATTTCATTGTGTGTTCATTGTGTATTATTTACTATAGGTCCACATACTCGGAGTTGGCTTGGCGGTCCACGAAAAGCTTGTGCATCCAGAAATGCGACCACTGCACAAGAAACTAGTGGACCAGTTCCACATGATGCGGACCAGTTTACACCACGTGAGTTAGTAATCCTGCACCAAAACATTCACCGCAATGTTACAAATGTACAGTTTCACATTGTGGGTTCTTTTGGTCCTTCAGTCACTCACTTTGCTCCAGTTGACATTTGTTTTTTTGTTTTTTTTAATTGTCTCTTTATCAACACTTTCCGCTGTAGAACTAGAAAACACAAAATGACATAAACTTAGCATGAATTGATAGACAAAATATTTTTTAACACATTTAACCATTAACCTGCTAGCGAACAACACGGTGGACAGTAATTGGCAATTTTACTTCATTACGTATATGGGCTTTTCTTAATTAGCTTCGTAGCTCTGTCGGGTCCATCAAAACCACTGTATATATGCAAAAAGGAAGTAACGATCTCAAACGCACTACACAAAAAATAAACATAGAAAACATATCCCTACAAGGTCCTCCTCATCTTCAAGCCCCTCCATAATCTCGCCCCTTCTTACCTCACTGACCTCCTCCATCATCACTGTCCCACCCGCCACCTCCGATCCACAGACTCCAACCTCCTCACTCCCTCCAGGACTAAACACCAAATCTTGGGGGACCGAGCCTTTGCCGCAGCCGCCCCCACTCGCTGGAACTCCCACAACCATCAGAAACTCTGACTCACTACAGAACTTTAAACCACTTCTCTAAATCCACCTGTTTCAGCTTCCCTTTCCTTCATTTTCTTCTTCAATGTTTATTTTTATGCGTTTTGTAAAGCGTCTTTGAGTGTGTAATACGTTTGATTATTTCTGTTATTGAATATTATTCTTGGAGCTCAAACAAATCCAAAACGTGTTTATTAGCCTAATTGAAGGCACGCTAGCACCGCCTTGTGACAAAACAAACCACATATCTCCACATGACGTTAGCAGTTACTATTCCAAGCGATTGGGTGCTGTATGATATTGAGAGCGGTGCCTGTGACCCAGCAGGGCGTGCCGGGGGTGGAGCGGTTCGGAGCGGCCGGCTGCACTGGGGTCAACTCCCCCAGAGGAGTCCTGTCCACCCACAGTCACATGAGTCCAGAGAGCATCCGACTCATGCACAGACACAGGTGAGACGAAAACAAAACAATGTACATTTTAGACGACATGTATTTGGTTTTATTGTGTTCCTACATATGTTACCACCTCATCACAAACACCATACGTTTTTAGCTCCATTCATGCTAATATCACAATCCTTCGGAGAAAAGAGGAAATACGAGGCACTCTTGACAGTGAACAAAAAATCTTTTAATGGATAGGGACATCTGAGATTCAGGACCTTCTTCAGTGCCCTACGGGTCGGCACGGTGGCTGAGTGGACAGCACCCTTGTATGTTCCTACTAAGCACTGATCCAGTCCTCTCTCAATGCATTTTTATCCATATATTTTCCACTTCATATTCCAAATCCTGACTTTCCAAAGTAACAATCATAATAAAAGCGTAACATGAAGACACATTTTACATATTTTTATTATTATAAGAGTTATAATGGTGGAGATGGTATTGTTTGTCTTGCAGCCCCTTGAACCTGCAGGGCTCGATCCGCCACTCCTCGTCCTCTCTGTCGTCACACACGTCCAGTGAAGCCGGAAACCTGGTCATCATGACGGACGGCCTCATGGGCGAGCACCCGGAGGAGGCCATGCACATGCAGGTCAGAACAGAACCATACATTTGAACTTCATCTGCTCGGCTTTGTGAAACATGAGGATCGCTCTCATAGCTTTGAGCGAGTTATCCACCTTTTTATTTCTTCAAGATTAGATTACTGCAACTCGTTGTCTTGTGGTCTGGACCTTCAGCAGGTGCAGAATGCTGCTGCTCGCTTACTCACAGGGACACGTAAGAGAGAGCACATCACCCCCGTGCTGGCCTCACTTCACTGGCTCCCTGTTACTTTCAGGGTTGATTTTAAGATTCTGATGCTTGTTTTTAAATGTTTGAATGGTTTGGCCCCTGTATATCTGTCGGAGCTGTTATCTTTGTATGCTCCTGTCAGATCAGTGCGGTCCGAAAACCAGCTGTTGTTGAACGTGCCCCGGTCTCGTCTCAAAACTCGAGGAGGCCGAGCCTTTTCTGTTGCTGCCCCCAAACTGTAGTCTACCTCTGTTCATCAGAGCAGCTCCTTCATTGGAAGTTTTTAAGTCTAGTTTAAAGACACATTTTTACTCCTTGGCTTTTAACACCAATTGAGGTTTTACCATTTTACTTTTACGTATGTATGTGTATGTATTTTATACTGTTTTATTTTTATTGTTATCATTCGTGCCTGTGAAGCACTTTGGGTAGCTGGTGTTGTTGTAATAAATGTTGTTGCTATATAAATAAAGTTGACATTGACATTGACATTGACATAGCGATTATAGTGATTATAGGGAACATGAAAAATTGACTTCTGAAATCGACCATGTTGCAGTTGTTTTTTGTTGTCATTTACACACTTTATTCAGGCTAATATTCTCCAACTATATCAGGGATGTCAAAACGGTTCCACAATGGGCCGGAGTAGCTGCAGGATGCCGTTCCAATCAAACAGGAGCACACCAGACTCCACCTATTTCCTCAGGTCTGCAGGTGAAGACTGGACTCACTTGAGGAAATGGGTGGAGACTGGTGTTCCTGCTTTGTTGGAATAAAATCCTGGATGACCAGTTGACACCCCTGATTCTATATCACTGTTCCCTTATGTCTTTTCTGACCACCACAACAACCATTTATTTGCTTATTTTCTTTTATGCTGACTTTATGCTTCTTACTGTATCTATGAGGAAGCCATGCATTAGATGTAGCAATGTTTCTGCTTACATTATAAACAGGGGCAGAACTGAATTTGAAACTGGGCAGACTTTCTTCAATCACATGATGTATTTATTGCCAACAACTGATGTTTATAATAAACATCAGTTGTTGGCATTAAATAGATATAAATTATATGTATGAGCGTATAAAGGCGCTTATAAAAAACGCTTATTAGTGATCATTCTATGATTCATATAGATGGTTCAGGCTCAGGAATTTTTTCAACTTTAACCCATGCATTCAACAACACATCATCAGAAGGCTAAAACTGTCTCGAGATGGTCAAACATTTCTATTTCATTCATACTAAATATAAGGACCCACTAGTGTCATAACTCGTCTCTTTAAAGCCGACAGAAGCATGTTATGTCTTAAAGGTATACAGGAAGATTTTTCCCAAATTTTAGGATACGTGCTCATCAAACAAGACCAGAGAATACCAAAAGTCTTGATGATCCACCTTTATACCTTTTAATACTGTATCTATCCTTTGAATAGAGAGAAGTTCTTGAAGTGCTGTATGAAAGCTGAAACCCACGAATGCAACTTTCCCTGGTATCTAAGCTTTGATAATTGTGTTTCTAGCCGAGCCCGTCCTCCTCCAGCCTGAGTTCAATTCGCTCCAACTCGTCTCAGATTATTAACTCTGCTCCTTCCAGTGCCAGAGGTAAATATCCAAACAGAAACACTATTCTCGCTCATATTAAGGCTGGATTGAAGATATAATTCTTCTTTGGCTCTGTGAGTAGGATCCCCGTCTCTGCCGGACAAAGCCAAACACAACAAAGAAGTGATGATGCTGCTACCGTCCCACCGTGAGAGGGCGAACAACATGTACTACAACATGGCCGAGAACGGACAGGTATCAACCAGACCAGAGCGCACAAGAACTGGGAATATTGTCATTTTTCCATATACAGTGGTCCCATGTTTATTGCGGGGGTTACATTCTTAAATTCAACACGCAATAATCCAAATCCGTCAAGTAGCAGCGACATGTTTTAGGGCTGTAAACCCCCTCGCACACACTTTATACACTTTTCTAACCACCTGAACTCACAGCAGCTGAAGCGATCGCAGAGATATGTCACGTGCATTTACCGTTGAACACATCTGAAAAGGACAATTCAATTCAAGTCAATTTATTCTTGTATTGTCCTAAATCACAACAGTCGTTTTCTCGGAGGACTTAATGAAACCGTTGAATTCACTAACACAGAAATGCAACAATAACAACGCTGAGGAGCAGGAGCTGGGCTGGGGGGTACGGGAAGAAGAAGAAGAAGAAGGTCCTTTATTTGTCCCGCACTGGGAAAATTTCAGTTTGATGCGTATACATATATACAGTATATACACATACAAATACAGTACACATCAAGGCAAGCTCCTAGGCCGAGACGGACCTCCCAAAATTCAGTTAGGATCAGCTCATATTGTGGTTCTTTTTGCAGAACAACCACATGCAGCGTGCCTTAATTCAGCAGGTCAGCCCCTGTAAGCCCTGTGTGGACCCTCACATGAACCTACAGGAGAAAGGTAAGTTCTCCTCGCACCAAAACAGGAGGAAGAAACACTGTTATAAACCAGTGTGTGTTGAATCTGCTCGTCTTTTGTGTCCAGTCTTTACAAACACGCAAAACAGCTGGAGTTTGGATGGAGACAACAGAGAGTCCTACATGCCGCCCTCGACTGGAGGCTCCATCATGGCCCCAGCTCCGCCCAGATCCTTTCCACAAGGTACAGAGCTGTTCACGCTGGGATTCCTGATTCTAGTTTTCACATGTATTATTTTTTTGTCAAGAGCCTTTTCAGATGGAAGAGTGAAGTAGGCATAACCATCTTTGCCATATACCTTTGTCACATAATTCCTCACATGGATCTTTCTGACAAGTTTGGAAGTGGTTTAATGTTTTCGCTAACACTTTATATTAATGGTACATGAGTTCATGCATAATTATCATTTAATGCATTAGTTCATGATACATTCATGCATTACGAGATCATGAATTCTCATTAACTAACATGATTACATGTTGGTTCATGGATGACTTCATCCATGAATTAATGGTTGAACTACTGTAATGAATTTACATGAAAATCTTAAGGTGAAGACAGCTCGTTGAGGTCTGAAATGTTGTTACAAGGTTCTTTCTTTTGAGAGAAACAAAAGAAAAGTTAGTTACCCCAGGCTTAAGTGATATTTGTATTTATTTATCTTATCGTTTTTTCAAAGTTGTTTGAAAGTTAAAAAAAAGTTGAGCTGTTGCTGCATCTTGGAGCTCAGAAAGATGATATATTATTTAATTACATGTTTTAAGGCAAATGTATCCTCTCCCTTTGACCAATGACCTATCTCCATCTCCCCTATGGAGCTTTTATTGTATATGTTTTGAGAAATGGGGGAAACCGGAACGCCTGGGGGAAACCCACTGGTGCTGCCCACTCCACCACTGTACCGCGGCAGAAGTGTAGTTTAGTTCAGTTTAGTTCACTTTAATCTTTATAGATTGTGAGAATTTTTGACTTTACATTAGTTTAAAAATACTGTTAACAGTGATGTCATTCCTCAGTGGATCCTCATTGACCCTCTGTCTCCCTCTGCTCTTCATGGAGGGACAGAACTGTTGAATACTGAGCTGCTTCAGTATTTTGCACTAAATTCAGAGTTATTGCCTTTTCTTCCCCCAGGACACTTCCTGATGCACTGTGATGCGTTCCACCACCAGAGCAGCGAGCCTCCGCCTGCTCTCCCTGTGCGCTCGCTCAGAAAGGTACCGCCTCCAGGAACCTTTCAGTTATTTAACCTTCATTCAATCTTTATTTCACCTTTACTTAACCACGTCTTTCATCACCAAAATCCACTTTACATGTTACCTACGCTGTACTACTTTTTCTCTCAAAATACCACAAGTTCACAGTTTTTTATAAGAATTATAGATACAACTTTGCGGATTTTTGCTTGGATCAAAGCTTAAATGGACAGTAGGCAAGGCAAGTTTATTTGTATAGCACAATTCATACACAAGGCAACTGAAAGTGCTGAACAAGATAGCATTAAAATCATAAATAATCACAGAACATTAAAACGAAAGATAAAAATATAAACTCCCTCAGTTGTATGCACAGCTAAACAGCACCGTTTTTAACTTGGTTTTAAACATTGTCAGAGAGGAGGCCTGTCTCACATCTTCAGGAAGATTGTTCCAGATGTAATATAATCATTAAAAATAACATCTACATCTTTTATATAATACAGGTGATAATAGTACCGATCATTTTGGATCTTATCTGAGCTATAGTTTAAAGTGGAGTTATTCTTTATGTGCACAATATTCATGTTTACAATTTCAAAGCAGATCCAATCAGAGAGCAGAATGAGGCCCTCAGTTTTTTAAGTGAAATTGACCTGGTTTTGGCCTTATTGCTTTTTTGTATATACAATTTTCAAACATAGATAATATTACTACACACGTGTTTAACCTCGTACCACCCTCTGTTACAAATATGCAACATAAAGTTCAACGGTTATGGAAAAAGAAGCAAATATGCTACGTTGCCATATTTGGTCATCGAATGCTGCTTTTCAAAAATAGCTCAGATTTTTCTTTTTGAACAAATATTTTTACGTTTTGGTTTTTACAGGGTTAAATGAAATCAGATCCAGAGTTTGTACTGTTTCTAGCTAAACTCCAGCAGGTGGATTGCATCAGTAATCAGACCTACACGTGTCACAGTCAAATTCTGCAACAAAAATGTGATTGCGTCTGTATAGACTTTATTAGACCACTTATTTCATTTTACACACTGTAATTTGAATTCCCATTATTTTGCTTGAACGGTTTACATTTATAGTTCAGTTAAGTTATTTAATTATCTATTATTATTATATTTGTAAATGTAAAAAGTACAAAACTATAGAGTGCCACATTTTCCATCCACAAAGTAAAACGTAATTTCTGCAGTGATTTGAACCAGACAATTTAGGTTTTTGAGCAGTAAAAATCCATACATGCACATCTTAATTCTCATCTTTTACGCCTCTTTTTTTTGTACCAACATTGATTGAAGCTTGATTGATATATTGAAGTTATTCTTGTCTGGCACTGTAATTGTTCAGTCGTTATCTGTCTTCATATTTAAAACTCCCACGCAGAAGACAAAGACAAACACTGGCGTTCAATTATGCTGTCAAGAAAAGAATCCAGAAATATAAGGCTCTCTTTACCCCACAGCCGGTATAGAGTTCAGAGGGCTCTTACTGACGCCCCCTATCTCTGTACGGGCTCACCCTATTCCTCTCATGTATCTGTATAGACCAGGGCCGGCCCTAGGAGAAAAATAAATCATGCCCCCACTTCTACATGGGGGGTATTTGAGCCATGTGAGGTGAGATGAAGGAGGAGTCAAAGGCAGGAATGCAAACAGAACCAGAAACAGAGCAGACATGGACAGAATTTGACAATACAATGGACCAGCAACAAGAGGAGCACAGGTACAATATAGACACAGAGAGACACAGAGAGACACACACAGAGACACAGAGAGACACACAGAGAGACACAGAGAGACACACACAGAGACACAGAGAGACACACACAGATACAGAGAGACACACACAGATACAGAGAGACACACACAGAGACACATAGACACACAGAGAGACACACAGAGAGACACACAAAGAGACACACAGAGAGACACACAGAGAGACACACAGAGAGAGACACAGAGAGACACACAGAGAGACACACAGAGAGACACAGAGAGACACAGAGAGACACAGAGACACACAGAGACACACAGAGACACACAGAGACACGCAGAGACACGCAGAGACACACAGAGAGACACAGAGAGTCACAGAGAGACACTGGTGAAACACATCAGGGCGGGGCAGACAATAACACAGGGGAACAGGACAGGAAGTCAAACTGAAACCAAACCAACTGAGGACAGATTTCAAAATAAAACAACAGTACAGAATAACAAAATAGCCACACTATGAAAATTTGCTTTTGCTGTTGAGCTGAATCCAAATGGAAGAAGGAAGCATAAATCTCATGTCAAATAAACCAGGTAAAAGTAATCAAAAAGTCCACACCAAGACATTTAAATATCTGATAACAATTGAGAAGATAACAACTGGAACATTTTACAAAAGCTGAGAAAACTGTATTTTACTTGTGTGTTGTATGTTTGCTTTGTCACTAACATGTTGTTGTGTATCTCTCTCCCAGTCTCCGCTGCACCCGATCCCTGGTTCTCCCACCAGTCCTCAGTCGGCACTAGGGGGCAGTAACTCCACTCTGTCAGGCAGTGCGAGCAGCGGCGTGTCCTCCCTGAGCGAGAGTAACTTCGGGGGCCAGTATCCGGAGCCGGGGCCCATCAGAAACGACGCCCTGGAGCCCCTCCCCAGTCACCTGTGGTCCCCCCCAGACGAGTACATGTCGTCCCCGTACCTCCACATTCACTACAGCGGCTCTGAGCTGGAGGCCGTGGACCCGGTGCGACCGTTCCACTACCGCAGCCCCACGTCGCACCCACACGCTCACCCACACCCCCACCCTCACCCACACCCTCACCCACACCCTCACTCCCACCCTCACCCCCACACTCACCCCCACACTCACCCGCACATGGGCCTGGACACGGGCCACTCACACGGGCCGCCGCCCTCGCACCACCACCCCGCCCCCCACGGGCCACACCACATCCCGTACCGCCGTCCCCAGCCTCCTCCTGCCGTCCCGCCCAAACCGTACCTGAGAGAGGGCTGCATCCCAGAGGAGGAGCTGGCCCCTCAGCCCATCCCGCTGCCCAGGAGGATCTTCCACTCGCCCCACAGTCACAGGGACGACGGGGTCAAGCACGCCTGGGAGACCTGCATCAGCGAGGAGCACGAGGAGGCGCAGTGAGGAGGCGCAGTGAGGAGTCAGAGTGAGCTCTCTCTGCTTCCTCTGCAGACATGTAGGTGTAGGTGCAGAGGAAGCACAGAAAGTCTTATTACCAGGACCCACATGGAAGTGCCACATAGAGGGGCCACATGGAGGGGCCACATGGAGGTGCCACATGGAGGTGCCACATGGAGGGGCCACTGACTGTTCAGACTTGAACATGTTGTACACTCATGTACGACTGCTCTTGAGCATGTTTCCTTTGAATCAAACACCGTGAGGAGGGCGGCCCATGGTCACCGTGAGGAGGATGGTCCATGGTCACCGTGAGGAGGATGGTCCATGGTCACCGTGAGGAGGATGGTCCATGGTCGCCGTGAGGAGGACGGTCCATGGTCGCCGTGAGGAGGGCGGCCCATGGTCACCGTGAGGAGGATGGTCCATGGTCGCCGTGAGGAGGACGGTCCATGGTCGCCGTCGCTGCTGCAGCTGTGACCACTCTTCTTTTGGCTTCGTCATTTTTCACCAAATGCCACAGACAGATCTTTTTACAGTCAGTGACTTTTGTGCTTAAAGCTACATTTACAATATATTCTTATTTTAATAAATTTGCTACATTGTAGTGTTTTCAAAAGCGTATATCTCCATAATGTTTTTAAAACACTGTTAAGTGCTCCTTAATAGTGAGTCATATCAGCTGCACTCTGCTGCTCCTGCTCCATCTCCTTCAGAACCTTCAGAACCTTCAGAACCTGCAGGTCCTGGACGCTTCAGTCACTGGTGAATATTCACCCATACCCAGAGTATGGACACAACATGAATGTATTTAGATGAGATGTTATTTATATTGCACAAGATGCAAAACTGGATTTTGTTCAAGTGCTTTAAGTCTCTGTAGAAGTGTGTGTTTGTTCCTTTTGAGAGACAGAAGATTGATGCAGACGAAGAGGAAGGAGTGGACAGTGTAACGATTGTTAGAGTTTGGACATTAGACGATCTCACATGAGGACAGAAACCTTTACACCTGCGGGACACAAACGCCACATCAGTTCTGCTTCCTCCATCTCTCCTCTGTGAACAGTGAGGGCTATCCCTGGACAGGACGGGCCAGTGTCACACATGCCTAATACCTGCCTTAAGTGCACTCAACGCAGTTTCACCTCATCTGGACATTCAGCCACACCACTTATTGTGCTCCACAGAGGAAAAAAATCAATCTACCTACTTATATTTCTCTATGGTTTTGTTCCGCTTTCGTTCCAGATTGTTGTTTGATCTGTTGCGCTGATATTTCTCCTTCTGCCTGCAGCGATTTTTCAGTCACTTTTGTTTATGTGGAAACTAATTGTGTAATTCTAAGCCAGTGTGAGTGCATGGGGTTTCTTCAGCAGGATGTAGGAGTGCAGTGTGATCGACACAGAAGGATTTAGCTAATATTTTACATTTGTTTTCCTGCAGGTGGAGGCTTTGTGTTACTGTACATCAAGTTGTCAGCTGACTAGACAACATCTATTTTTGTATGTAGGGTCATCAGTGCGTGACATATCTCAGACAGAGGAGACGGTACTGCATCTGCTGCTGTACTTTGGTTGAGAATGAAGACAGAGTGTATATAGATTAGTGATTATTTTGAGTAATTGGAGGAATGCTTATGGGTGACGAGATACTTACAATATAGGTACATAGAATTTTTGTAAATCTGTTATTGTACATACCGCAGTATTGTGAAATATTTTTGAGAATTATTGCCAATGCCCCAAAAGCGTTTATTGTTGTTTTGTGTATATACATGTAATCCAGAGATTAATGTAATTGATAAATATCTATAATTGGTGTTTGAAAACAGACAAATCCATCTGGCTGTGGTTGTCTCCACTGTTCTACTCATAGAAATCCTTTATACACTTTTCAATGTGCTTTCCTGTACATATGGTGTTAGCATGATCAAACAGTGTTTGGTTGTAATAGTGGTTTTCCTACTCCCATAACTGCTGTGGTATGGAACTCATTAACAATACCAAACATTAAAGACAATCTTTTATCAGCATTTGGTCTCAGTGTTGTATGTACCTCACACTCACCGGACTCTTTACCTTCAACGTCCATTTTCAACTGGTTTTAACTCTTCACACCCACAGCTCCAGGAGGAATACAACTCTTCTTCACTGCTTCTTAGACTTTATTTTTGTTTATTTTTATGTCCCTAGTCTGAAACCCTGGACCTGAGGACTAGTCCCCAGTCTGAAACCCTGGACTCCCTAGACCTGAGGACTAGTCCCCAGTCTGCTGTTGGGAGTTGGTGGTTCTGTGATGTCACTCAGAACTATTTTTGTGATTTCAGGGGATACAAATACATATGAATGATTACTCTTTTTAATGATAACACATTTTTGCAATTTTCGTTAATAGTTGTATGAAGCAATTCATTGTCAAATAAATTATATTTTCAAATGATAATGACAACAGAAAGTACCCTTCAGACCCTGATTAGAAGTCTCCATCCCCCAGTTCTTAATAGCCTGTATTTCACCTTTAACATCTATGACAGCTTGGTGTCTCCTGTGACAGCTGTGGATGAGGTTTTTAATCCTCTCTGACGTAAAGATGCACATTTGAGATCGCCCCATGGCAGCTCAGGGATAATCTAAAAATATAAAAAATGTTTATTTGACGGTTAATCAAAGAGAACATTTACAAAACACAGATCTCAGTTTTGTAAATTTGTAAAAAGTCGTTTTCCTCCAGTAACAATCTTTTATTGCCTTTACACTTGCTTAAGAAGTGGAGCCAGTGTATTTGGCACTAAAATCGATCTGATTTTTCACAAAACTACTCGATAAAAGGCAAATAACCTTTCAAATATTTGTCTTATGGCACATCTGTTTTTGCAAATTAATGATTTAAATGGATTTCCACAACCACTTTGTGTAAATATCTCCAAAAAATGACCATTCCTGTCTGGCTGTAAACACACGCTTTCAGTCACAGTGTGGTAATGTTGAGTGTTCGACAGCAGAGGGCGCTCTTTACTGCAGAGCGACACAACTGAACATGTTTTAGTTGCGTGTGATGAGAATCTTTAGCGGTTGCTTTCTGGTTTGGGATGAAGCCTCAGTGAATACAATTGAGGCTTCGTTGACGGTAATAATGGGGTCACAGCTGCGATATCATTTAGAGAAATAGCTTCATTCATGTGTTATTATCTCTGCTTTTGGGAGAATGTTTTAGCCTTGGTCAAGATAATTCTCAAATAGACACTGGTATGAATGACTGCAGTTCTATAGCAGAATGTCGTTGTGTCCTTGAGTAAAGCACCTTCCCACTAAAATAAAAAAACATAGCATTCAGGAACCAAAATAGTTTAATAAATGAAACGTTACAGTTTAAGAATTAGCGGAACATTCTAAATACATTTTTACACTGAATTGAACACAGAACAGTCAAGTACAGTATCATTACTTAAATCATGTTTAAAAAAGAAATTCCCCTCAACAGTTACAAACATATACAAAGCTCCTCAGGCAAACAGAACATACAAAAGCATCGTACAATGGAGCCCGGTGTATAAGCTCCAGGGCCAGTACCAGTGCTTTTAGACATATATGGTTATAACAAGGTTTTTCTTCCAGATCCCCTTAGTGATAATATCCAGGAACAAGACGTCTCAAGTGGACTCTTGCCAGCCCCAAGCCTGGATAAAAGTAAAGGGGTGCTTAATGACAACAGCATAGACTGTATAGATGGACAAAGCTAATCCGCTAACTCAATGGAAGGACATTGAAAAGTAAACTCCCCGAGCTCAGTAACTGTATGTGTCACACTAACTGTATTAGGCTGAAAAAATCTGCGGTCTGGTGCTCTCTATAATCCTGGTTTTTTATATTGATATTGTCTTTGTAAATCCAGATATTAGCCATAAGGATTGACCAATCAGGTCCGTTCATCTGTTTGTGGGGGAATCTGCAGCTTGCCTTAGGAACCATCTTCTCCTGCTACAGCGCAAAGCTAACCCCGTCAGAACAAATGCCCATGTGAGGATATTGGCTTCAGCTAGCTTATGTTCAAAATGGCTTCTTCCATGTTCGGTCACTCCACTCCTAATATACAGTCTATGGACAGCAGTCAGGAAAGAGAAAAGAAAAGAAAATCTATAGAGCTAATCCCTGCACACCAGGAGGCAGGTTGAACTATTAACTAACTTCCTGTATTTATTATTCCTGTAGAAATAGTGAATGGTGCACCAGGAAAGAGATCTCACGAAGAGAGTGACAAAAAAGATCCTAGCGGCGAGCCAAGAAGCAAAAAATCCAAAATGAACCAAAATATTGTAACAGTGACAAATCCGCCTTTAGTCGGAGGCTTCAAAGTCTTTTCAATTCATAAATAGTTTTAAATGCATCTTCATTGGTCTTTTCTTCGTAAATAAAAGTTAAAATCGTCTTTTGCCAGCGGCTATGGCTATGTAAGGTCGTCGAAGTGGCCCCTGCTTCAGTAAGGAGCAAACTTCTGCCTCTCTGGCTTCTTGATGCAGTTAGCCGTGGAGATCTTGGCGGTGTAGGCGGCGATGGCGGAGGGAGACGCCGTCACGTTGGGAGCGGGGTTGGAGAGAGTCAGAAACGGGATGGATTTGACCCCCAGCAGACCAGAGAGGGGGAGGGCAGCACCGTACGGAGAGCCCAGCATGTGAGCCTGGGTCAGGGCCCCCATTGAGGCCATAGTGGGGGCCATGGTGGGGGCCGGGGAGGAGGCTGGAGAGGCGGGCTGAGCATAGGGCATGTTGAGGTCGACCGGAGCAGACAGTCCGGTGGCCTGCGCCGTGGACTTGGCTGTTTCCAAACTGGGAGAGAAAGAGGGAGCGGGACAGGGTTAGAGAACACTGTCATCATCAGGGGTGCGCTAAAACTAGAATGATACACTTGTAGATAAATATCAATATTATAATATTAGACACAATATTGTTTTTATTTGAATTAGTAATCAACACCTTCAAATTTCTAAATGTATGTATTTTTTTTACAATATGGATGGAGCCATTTTTAAAACAGAAGTATCGCCTTCCAATTCGATTTGAACATTTCTCAATTATATAGAAAAACGTGCTTCAGTTATACCATGGCCTCTTGGATTTAGACGTAAATATAACAGCCTGTATTTCAACTATTTAGTCTGTAGTTGTGTGTCCAACGGAAAACAACCAATCAATAAATGGAGGAGTTCTCGACCAAACTATATTAGTCATAGAGCCAAAAATATTGGTCAGAATGACATTTAGTTGGCCGACCACCACCACCAATCACATGCACATGCACATGCACGCACACACACACACACACATAGTAAGTGAAACGTGTGTACTTCTAGATGGGAGTTAAGAGGACAAGGCTTTTCACCGAGCATTAAATCCATCCATATCTCTCTGTTTCAAAGTGTCAAACCAATGAACTTGAACATATCAGTGTGGCTTCTGTTTTCTGCTGTAGCTGTATTTTCAGAACACATATTTTCACCTTCTGAAATGAACCCGTCTCGTATCGATACAGACCTATTATGTTTAACAAGCCTTTTGTCCCGTAGTGACCAATTACAGGCGCACTCAGACACACCTCATTATCACACACGACTCTGCAGCGCGCCCTCCGACCCTTTTACAACAACATTTTTCCTTTTGGCCCTTCATTAATATCACTGACAATTCCTCTGGACCAGACAATTTGATTTTCAACTTCCAGGTGGATCATCAAAACTATTGGTCCTCCCAGTTGTCAATCATTCCGGTGATAGGTGCTCGTCAAATAAGACCAGAGAGGGAGCTTTCCTAAAATCTGGGAAAACCCTCCAATATACCTTTGACTCAAACTTAAAACAGTGTAAAATCATTCTTTGAGCTTTTCTGGTCAAAAACAGACCTGCTGTATTTAAACTATGTCTGTGCTAATCTTAGAAACCAGATCCTCGCTCTCAAAAGCGTTTGGTTCTATCATTAGTTTTCACATGCATGTATTTTGTCCTCTGTACACATCTTGTACCTCAGGTTTTACAGACAAAAAAGAGAAAAAGAGAGGACCACCTTCACTCAGCCAATCAGAGAGTTGCGGTCTGATTTCTTTACAATATTTTACTTTTACAAGACAAAATTTACCACAGCTTTAACCAAGCAGATACTAATGTCCCACTTCTACCACTAGAGGAAGTTTTCATAATAACAAACAAATAAAAAGAAAATATTCTCAAGATCAAGGATAGTTGTGAAAGTGATTTGTAGTGATCTTACCAGGAGGTGATGAGGTACTGGGCCAGGTTGATGCTGACCGGAGTTCCAGTGATGGTGACGTGGCGGTCCGTGGTTCCGTCCAGTTGGCTCCCGATCTTGATTTGGGCTCCCGAAACTTGCCGGATCTCGTTTATTTTTGTCCCCTGTCGACCAATGATGGAGCCGATCAGCTGTGGAAGAATGAAATAGAATTTAGTTCAAGAAACAAAAGGAATGGACAAGATTTAACCAGTACCAAACCAGCAGATGAATTTTAAGGAGGGCACGGTCTCCTGGCGGGAAAAGTATGCATCATGGGTACTATTTCATGCAATAGAAAAGAGATTTCAACACCACTTCTGGAGTTACTTTCTCTGCCATTACAAGGTTTGCTTCTACTTTCCAAAATATATACATACATACAGTAGATAAGATGTCTCACCAATAAATATTCTGGTAACAAACCTTTTTGTGTTTCTTTTCACACATCTCCTCCACACGCTGCTGTGTGTCTGAGTGTGCGATGTCAGCTGTAAACTATTCATAAAAATATACAGTATCTGTTTCCATAATTGTATTATAGTGACTAATACTCACCATAGTTGCGGTGTTTTGTATGTTCTGCAAGCTGAGCAGATTCTCCAAGTTTTACACATTTAAGATAAGATAAGATAAGATTGCTTTATTTATCTCACAGAGGAGAAATTTACATGTCACATTTGGCATGGATAGAACACTCAGATTGTGCAAAGGGAGGAAATGTGCAAACATGTTACATGCAGGATATATGTACAATAAAGTGACAATAATTATGTACAACAAAAGTGACAAGTGTCAATTGGAAACAGTGTCAATAGTAGTGCAGGTTTTCACACAGTGATTATTTAAAGTGACTTATTGTACAGTCTGACAGCGGTGGGGATAAAGGCCCTGCGGTAGCGCTCCTTCCTACACTGAGGGTGTCTCAGTCTCCACTGAAGGAGCTCCTCAGCTCCTCTACAGTCTTGTGCAGTGGGTGGGAGGTATTGTTCATGATGGAGGTGACTTTGGCTAGCACCCTCCTGTCCCTCACCTCCTCCACAGAGTCCAGGGAGCAGCCCAGAGTGGAGCTGGCCCTCTGACCAGCTTGTTCAGTCTGTTTCTGTCCCGCTCTGTGCTGCCCGGGGCCCAGCACACGGCAGCGTAGTAAATGGCAGAAGTTACCACAGAGTCATAAAAAGTCCTGAGCAGAGGCCTGCTCACTCCGAAGGACCTCAGCCTCCTCAGAAGGAAGAGGCGACTTTGGCCCTTCTTGTGCAGGGCGTTTGTATTATGGGACCAGTCCAGTTTATTGTTAATGTGAACACCCAGGTACTTGAAGCTGTCCACCAGCTCAATGTCCCCCCCCTGGATGTTCAGCAGCGTGTGGGAAAGTGGTTTCCTCCTTAAGTCGATGATCATCTCCTTGGTCTTAACTACGTATTGTACTTTTGTCATTTTAAATGCTTAATTTTTTTGATTGTGTGTTTGTGCCTCTTGAATGTCCTGTTTATACTGTGTCTGTCTTGATAATAAACAACTTAAAATTAGCTTACATTCTTTAACTACACCACATTTATACTTCAAGCAGCTCGTCCAATCAACAAGCAGAATGAGTCTCTCATCTGGGTTGCCAGTTTGTCTAGTGGAACTAAGCTGGTCTTCTCATTAACAGTCACAACAACAAAAAAACAGCACCACACATGTTATGTAAGTTATGGTAAATACAAAAATAAGTTGTCATACATGATTCAGAGTTTGTACTGTTTCTATCTCAACTCCAGCAGGTGGATTGCATCAGTTGTCAGAGGTCAGGAAATGCATGTGTCGCTGACAGGAAGGTTCTGGCAACAAAAGTTGGATTGTGAATGTGACTGGACCAGTAAGCAGGCATAAAACATACCGCCCCTTTAAGCTGTACTAACCCAGACAAATGAAAACAAGTCTACACCAAATCTACACCAATGAACAATAGAAAATTACACTTGTATTTTGAACGAAGCCCGGGTCAGAATAAATGAATAAACCAACACAGACAGTCAACCAAGCATTCAATTCAAAATAAAGCAGCTCTGCCTAAATTAACCCGAAGAGCAGCAGAATCAGATGCTAGAATCACCGGGTTCCATAAATCATGCTGTGATGGGAGCGAGTGACTTTGATGGAAGTGAAGGGACTACAACAGGAGATGCTGCAGTTTGAATATTGCATTGCGTTTCTCTCGGTCATAAATCATGTCCGCGACTCTTCCTGACTCCACTAATTGGTCGGTGCGAACATCGGAGAAACAGACGAGCGCATTTGCCTTCATTTCTTTGAACGGCTAAAAGGATATCGATTGTGCGAGAGCCGTGATGACTTCCCAAACACCGAGCGCCTCTCTGCTCTAATGGGAATGATGGGAAAACGTTGCAGGCATGTAGCAGTGTAGTCACGGTGCTCGATAACAAATCTGATACCACAGCAATTGGCTTAAAATGCTCTATTGTGAACAAGGAGCTTTCAGTCTATCATGGATAACTCTTTAGTCTGTATTCTTTGCTACATGTCTTCATCATAACACAATAAAATACCACAACAATTCAGCCAGAACAACAGTAAAACAGTCTATGAAAAAACAAAGATAAGTAGGATGAAGAAAAAAATCATTAAACTGTTACCCCATTCATAATTAAAGACATTTACAAGTAAGTGGTCAACTGGACTGAAGTTTTTGGCATTTTCAAATTTCATCATTAACAATAAACTGTCTTCTAAACACTTTCATACCAGTTTTAAATATAATATAAATTACTCAGGAAATGCTTAATCATGTCTTGTTTATGTGAATGTTTTAGCGTCATTGCTAGCCTGGTCGTACCACACCATAGTACAAATTACATTTCGTACTAAGGTCTGGAGGCGCTCCATTGAGCTCCGTGAACAGGTGGGAGGGGTTAAGTCCTTTTGCAGATTGAAACGATTGGATCTGAGTTCACTGTAGGTAAACTCTGTTCATCTTCATCTGTATGTAATGCGCCCGAGAGAGTTGTTAGCATTTAGCATTTAGCCTAGCCATCTCCTTTGCCGCTAACGAAGCCCGTGGGGAGTAGCGCCACAATTTTTGCCAGCGATTACATTTTCTAAACATTCCTCTTGCTCCCGCTTCAATTTCTTGATAGAACCAGACCGGATTACTTTAATGTCGCATTTTCCGCCATTGCCAAACTACAACCTTCCCGTTCGACGCAAACTCTTGACGTCACCCACAAATAACTACAGCACCCGCCTCCTGCGCTCCCTGATGGGTCGGATGGAACACTGCTAACACAGGGACCAGACCCAGACCCGTTACATGCAGGGAAATGATAATTGAGCGGAGTGTACGGATGGCTATGGCCAGGCTATGTCATTGCTGGATTATAAGCCATTTTTTAAAGTTTGTAGAAGTTCTTTAAACTCTGCCATCGACATAGCAATTTAGACTCTGCTCTATCAGCCGCGGTTGATGTTTATGTGAACAGATAGAGCCGACACAAGGAGATGTACTTTTATGTGATTAGGGATGTTGTCACAAGAGAGCTTAAGGACTTATTGTCTTTTGACTCTATCCAGGTTTAGCAGCTACAGTATAGGACACACGTTTATTGTCAAAATCGATTGGTGAATGAGTTCATGTTCGCCTCCACAAAGTTCATTGTGTTATTCTCGAAGCTTCGATCATAACAGGTCAACAGTGACTTAAACTCCTCGTCATTAAATCATGTGACCAGGTGCGAGAGTTGTTTATGCTGTGTTTTTCTCTATTAGCTGTTAAGTGTTTGAAGTAAGTAAGTAAGTCATCTTTATTTATATAGCGCCTGTCACAAAGCGCGTTTGGCTTGTCTATTATTCATGTTTTTAGTGGTAGAGGAAACAGGAGCACTCAGAAGAAACCTATGCAGACACAGGGAGAACATGCAAACTCCACTCAGAAAGGTCTTGTTCCGACCGGGATTCGAACCAGGACCTTCTTGCCGAGAAGTGAAAGTGCTATCCACGACAACAGGAAACATGCTGAACAAATGTAGAGAACATTTACCTTCTTTCATAATTTAGCTTGATTCTCTTTATATACAGTACACCACATACTATATTTAGTTTTGATACTATAGTTTTAATATTAAATCATAGTTGGATTGCTTGTCACGTGCTGAAATTAAGGAAGGACCCAAAAAGCAGGAATGGGTTAGGGTCAGAGAAAAATAATGATTTATAGAAGGAAATAAATGAAACTCCAGGTCAAAGCAAACTAAAAATCCAAATGAAACATGGGAACCAGGTAAACAGGCAAACAAAGACAAAGGACCAGCAACAAATGGGGAAGAGCACAGGGTACAAATAGACACAGAGAGACACAGAGAGGGCGGGGCGGACCTTTAACGCGGGGGAACATCCAGGAAGTAAAACTAAAACAAAGCCACAGAGAACCAGAAAGTACCAAAATAACTGTATCCTCACCATGACATATCTGTGACATCTCTAACATGTCTCTTTGTGTATCGGGCTAATATAGAGCTTTAGAGATGGACCGAGCTGACCCGCGAGCTCGCTGAAGCCTAAAAGGAAAGTGCTCATGGGCAAAATGTTGTTCCACTTTGGTTCCATTCACTTTCATTGAAAACGAAACGCCTTTTTTCTGTACGGTTTTGTCACACTCAGCATTATGGGCTTAAAAGTCTCTGCTTGGTTAAAGGGTATATTTATCAATTCAGGTGCTAAACTGCAAGCTCACAGTAAAATAGTGTGTGCAATTTTAGTGTTTTAGTTCTATAGGACAGGGGTTCCCAAACTTTTCAGGTCAGTACCTAAAATAAACATTAAATTGGCTCTCTGCTGAAGAATCACATTGACAGTAGCGATAATTTCAGCATAAAAAATCCCTACATTTACGTTAAGTTGAATCATTTATTTCCTCTAATTTCACTTTTTGCTTCTTCATGTCCCTTGGCCCTCACATTGGGAACCCCTGCTGAATGACATTTGCTTGATAATTCTGTTTACTCCAATTTTAAGGGATGCTAATCACTTTTACACACCCACAAACCTGTGCAAAATAAACTCTTCTATAATCTTTGGGTTTTATTTGTGATATAAATTTCAAATAATGACATGTAAAATCTGGCCAATCGGGTGCCTCCTATTCCTCAATTTG